CTTATGCTAGGCCTGTGCTTCCACGCGCCCACAGGGGCTTAGATGCTTTGTCCATGCACCTCAGGACGTACCCCATGGTCCCAAGCTGGGCCCAGCTCCGCTCCGTTGACCCCAGGGGTGAGTAATGGAGACGGGGCCACTGCAGGGGCCGGGAGAATGGAGGGTGAATGGAGTGTCTGTTTAGCTAGGGGGCACCCACCCCTCCTGGGTCCCAGCTGCAGGTGGCAGGAGAGAATGGAGACGATGGGGCTGGGCCAACCGGGCGTCTGTGCTTCGGGTGCTGAGTGCGTGGGTGAAGACCGTGGCTGTTGTCCCAGGAGCAGTATGGCACATGGGTAGTTAGAAGGGATGATCACCATTTGTGCCTTTCCAAGGTGGTGATTAAGCAAACACAGCCTCTATTCCTTAGCTGGCAGGGGGAGCCATGGTGAGCTGGGTGGGCCGCCAGTCCCAGCACCGGGACTGGCAGGGGTGCTGGAAGCAAGCGCAAGCACGGTGGTAGCTGGCCCATCTCAAAGCTTGTCACAAAATGTTGTCACAAAACAGCTGTCTCCCCTGCCCCCCCCGCCCGGCCCCACAGCCCATATCAGAGCACACAGGGACCAGCCTGAATAGGAATAAGCAGACAGACATGAACAGGACATGGCCCACTGCCGGCATGTGGCTCCCACCGCCCAGGACCCGGCCAGCAGATCTGGTCACCAGAGGCTCTGGGGCAGCCTCTAGATGCGGTGCCACAAGCCCGGGCCGGGCTGCTCTAGAATTCCTAGAGGCTCCCAGTGCGGTGTCCCTCAGGGCTTTTAAGAAATGTCTTCCCAGTGGACGATGTTGCCCTGAACCAATTTCTCCTGGGGCTCGACAGCCCAGAGCTGCCTCACAGGCGGTGCGCGCCCTGGATCCTCACTTGTAATGAGTTTTCACAGAAATGCCACACTGAGCCCTGACAGCTGCTACACCCCGTCTCGGGGCCCGCGGTCTGAGGGGGAATAGACGGGTGACCTCGGAGCAACAAGCCTGGCCCGCTCCCCATGCCCGGGGCAGCCATGTCTGCTGCCGTAGATCTGAGAAGGCTTTCCAGAGGCGGTGGCGGCTGAGCAGGGTTCTGAGGACAGGTGAGAATTTGCAGTCTGCAAAGGGAGGCAGGGCTCACCAGGCGGAGGGCTCGGGGCAGGCAAGGGAAAGAGTGATGTCTTGTGGGTGAGTCGAAGCCGCTGGCCGCCGTCACTGTGGTGGGATGTCTGGTTCTTGGAAGAGCAGAGAGAGCCTTTGTGGGTGAGGAACAGGCAGGGGGCCCCCAGGCGGCCTTTCTGCTTGTCTGCAGAGGCGGGGAAGCACCTTTCAGTGGGGCGACTCTGGTCCTGGTAGTCGACTCTCTAGGGGTCAGAGCCGAGACCTGATGGGCTGGGACAACCTGCCGGCCTCCCATCCCCACCGAGCCAGGAGCTGCCTCAGCAGAGTTTGCAGCCAGGATACAGCACTTGTCCCCTGATTTGATGCCCAGAACATCGCGTGGGCCCCCGGGGAGCTGGGCCTCACAGCAATGAGCCAGGCAGATCGAGGATGTGGGTGCTCCCCCGTCTGTGTAATCAGTGAGGGTGCAGGATGCAGCCCCCACCTAATGGGGGGGCATGGTGCCCGCGAATGGCAGGACCCTCATGTCTTCCCTGCGACTTATTTATAGCCTTGCTGTGGCAATTTGTGGCAATCACAGTATTTATCCTGTAATCACACTGCACGCAGGCTCCCCAGTGCAAGTAGGCACCCAGCCCAGCGAGGCCCGGGGCCTGCCAGGGCTCAGGGAGGACTTGGGGACAGGCAGGAGAGTGTGGGGGCGGCAATGTCCCCATCAGCCTCTGGCCCCATCTTTTTCATTTATTTTTTAAATATGCTTTTATTGCTTTTAGAGAGGGAGGAAGGGAGAGCGGGAAGAGAAAAATATTGATGAGAGACACATGGATTGGCTGCCTCCTACACACCCCCTACTAGGGATTGAGCCCAAAACCTGGGCAGGTGCCCTGACCTGGAATTGAGCCAGCAACCTCTCAGTGAATGAGACAACGTTCAACCAACGGAGCCATACCAGCCCGGGTTGGCCCTATCTTATCAGCTGTAGTCCTAAGCCCCCCAATGCACCCTGGATGATAATAGTAATAATGATGATAATAATAATAATCACTTACATAGCATTTACTATGTTCCAGTTCCCATTCTAAGCCTTTTCTGTACATGAACTCGTTTATCCTCATCACCATTCTAGGAGATCACTGCCATGATTATCCACATTTTCCAGATGAGAAAACTGAGGTGCAGATAACACAGCTGGTAAGAGCCAAGATTTGAACTCAGGTGTTCTGGCTCCAAAGTCCATGGTTTCCAAAGGGTCCTTCCCAGGCCCAGGTCAGGGCCCTCCCCGGCTCCACACCCACGAACTCAGCCCTGCCGGCTCCTGGCTTCTCCCGGTTCACCTGCCCTTCAGCGGCACACGAGGCTGCACACACAAAGCCACACCCGGCTTCCCTCCTGGCCTCTTTCTCTTGCTGGTGAACTGGTCCCCCAGGGCAAACTGGGCTCCCTCTCTGGGGTGTCACTTATGGGTTTGTGCTCCGATTTCTTCTGCAGAATGAGGATTTTCTTGTCCACCTCCCCCAGAAGCCCTGGATGTCAGATGGAGGAGGGAACACTTTTGTCAAGCATTGTCCTCTGTTGAGTGTGGGGCACTCTTAGCTGGGTTCATGTGCCAGCTCGCTCAGTCTTCTCAGTTGTGTGGCCAGGGGTGAATGACTTAGGTTGCTTGAGCCTCAGTTTTCTCATCTGTAAAATGGGGTAATAACAGGACCAAAACCCAGAGGTTACTGGTGGGGATGAACGAGATGAGCCCTGTACAGCACACAGTGCCTGGGACATCCGTCCTCAGTAAAACAGAACCATCTACTGCTGTCGTTTATTTTGATGCTGTCCTGAGGGCAGGGCCCAGGTGTCCTCTGGCCAGGTCCAGGGCAAGGTATAGGATGTTAGAAATAAGGCAGGAGAGTCAGAGCCCCTGGAAGGAGCATTAGGAAGAGCTGGACAGAGCCAGGCCTCAGAACAAGTTTTTCCTCTTCCTCCTCCAAGCCAGAGCCCTCCATCATTTACAAAATGATTTCCTGTCTGTGTGGGCAGCAGCTCTGAGCTCATAAAGCAGTTACCCTTAGACCAGGGTTGTGTCTGTGAGGACAGACGATTTCAAAAATGCACTTCCCTGCTGAGCAAAGCTTCTCGTTTGGAATTCCTGGCAGATGCACCCTCCCCCGGGGCCAGTAGTGGCTGAGGAGATGATGACACAGACACACGTCAGCCGTTGGCCGGGGCTCCCACCCACACCAGCCCACCTGTCAGGGTTGCCTGCAAAGCCCCTGGGACAGCCGTGGGCAAACTACGGCCCGCGGGCCGCGTTTGAAATGAATAAAACTATTGAAAAAAAAGACCGTACCCTTTTATGTAATGATGTTTACTTTGAATTTATATTAGTTCACACAAACACTCCATCCATGCTTTTGTTCCGGCCCTCCGGTCCAGTTGAAGAACCCATTGTGGCCCTCGAGTCAAAAAGTTTGCCCACCCCTGTCCTGGGAAGTACCCTCCCCAATGTGCTTCCTGGGAGGGTGCAGCAGGCTCTTGGCGGGGGTGGGGGGAAAGTGAGAAGAAGGAAAGGGCCACCCTTGCCTTGAACCGGCTGCTTTAAGAGATGAGCTCCCTGTCATTGAAGGCAACCAAGTGGTTCACAGTCTAGCTGCGAGGCTCAGCCACACAGAGAAAGTAGTACCCGTCTCAAGGGGAGAGGGGCCAGCTGGACGGAAGGAAGGACTCCTCACTTTCTCGTGGTGGCTGCATCATCGTAGGCAGCGAGGGGGCTGCTGGAGGTCTTGGAGGTCTCTCTGCACCTGAGAGGCCAGAGCAGTGATATTCAGGCATTAGATCAGGGGTCAGCAAGCTTTCCTTTAAAGGGCCAGACAGTAAATATTTTAGGCTTTGTGGGCTGTAAAGTCTCTGTGGCACATAAGCAGCCACAGATAATGCGCAGATGAATGGGCATGGCTCTGTTCCAATAAAACTTTATTTATAAACACCGGCAATGGGCCAGATTTGGCCCAGGAGTGTAGTGTCTGTGTTGGAGGAAAGAGAGAGCAGGGAGGGTTGGCTGCCAAGAAGCACTTCCTGAAGGTGGGGGCGTTGAGCCCAGGCAACTGAGGGGAGCAAGGAGAACATTTCTGGCAGTGCTGGCTTCCCCCACAGCTGGAGGGGAAGAGTGGCCATGAGTGTGGCCCCCAATGCTGGCCTTGCCTCTGAGGAGTCATCTTCCCATAATTCAAGGCCTCTGACAGCTTCAAACATAATTAGTTTTTTAAAATCCAGCAACTGTGGTCTGTTAAAAAAATTATATATATATATATATATATATATATATATATATATATATATATATATAATTTTTTTATCTTTTATTTTTTTTAAGTTGATTTCAGAGAGGAAGGGAGAGAGAGAGAGAAATATCAATGATGAGAGCGAATCCTTGATCGGCTGCCTCCTGCGTGCCCCACGCTGGGAATGGAGCTCACAACCTGGGCATGTGCCCCGACTGGGAATTGAACCATGACCTCCTGGTTCAACCACTGAGCCACGCTGGCCGGGCTGTGGTTGTTTTCAGAAGGATGCTCGGCGCATGTTTCTGTCTAATACAGGAAGTGGAAGCCATCGGACGCCCCTTACACTGTTGCTGTTGCTGTTAGTGAAGGAAAGAGCAGGGTCGTTCCTTTCTAGGGTGGCCCTGCTGGCCCTGGGACGGCACCGTGACGCGGCCTCATCCTGCTGGGCTTCCGCTTTATAGGAGGAGAAAGGTTTCACGTTGTGTTTGGTTCGGAGGCCGGGGCTGAGCAGGGTGACGCCCTAGCTCCGACGCTATCGCTCCACGGCCTGTGGGCCCACGCCTCCTGCCAGCTGAGCTCTGCTCTGCTCCCCCTCAGGAGAGCTGTACCGGGTCTCCTTGAGAAGACAGAAGTTCCCGGCCCAAGGAAGCATTGAGATCCACGAAGACAGTGAGGTAGGCGGGTTTCTGAGGCTGTCAGGGCCCACCTCTGTGCTCAGGATGTAAGGCAGAGCCCTGGTGGACAGGCTGCCTAGTTTCCAGCCAGCTCACCTGGCTTGCTGTGCGACCCTGGGCAGCATCCCCTCCTGCTCTGGGCTTGTGGCTCTCATATGAACAAGAAGGGCCTCCTGGGATCCTTCCGACCCAGACATTGAGGGGCTTGCCCTCCTGGCAGCCTGTGCCCCTCATCATATGGGGGCAGGAGAAGTCCCTGACTTGGAGCTGAGACAGGCTGGGCACAGTGCCTGCTTCTCTGGCTGCAGCCCCCCCCCCCCCCCGTGTGTGTGTGTGTGTGTGTGTGTGTGTGATTCATTGTGTTACCCCTCCCCCACCCTGTCTCCCTGCTGCCTGTCTCTGTCCCCACCGATGTCCCTTCCAGGAAGTCTTCTCCCAGCGCTCCTGCAAGACGCAAGTGCTCCTGCTGGTGCTGCACGGGGGGAACGTCCTGGACACGGGCTCGGGGGACCCCTCCTGCAAGGCAGCCGACATCCACACGTTCAGCTCCGTGCTGGAGAAGGTCACACGCGCCCACTTCCCTGCGGCCCTGGGCCACATCCTCATCAAGTTTGTCCCCTGTCCTGCCATCTGCTCCGAGGCCTTCTCGCTGGTCTCCAAGTGAGTCCCTTTCTGCTTGTTGGGACTGGCTGGGTGGGGGGGGGGGTGTGTGGATTAAGTGGGGGGACGGCCCCCCCCCGCCATGTGGGGACTGGTGGGCAGGGGATACCTGCCCAGGCCTCTCTGGGATGTCAGGTCCTGACTGACTGTGGGAAATGGTCAGCAGAGTCCCAAGCAATGAGCACTGTGCACTGAGTCCTCCTCTGCCCGGGACCAGGCGGTGCTGGCATCTCAGGTCCACTTCCTGTGCTCACAGCCCTGGGTCTCCTTGGCCCAGGTGAGGAAGTTGAGGCACTGAGAGGTTAAGCAATGCAGCTCCCCCCAGCGTCACCCAGCGAATGGAGCCAGGAGTCCAACCCAGGCAGCCTCACTCCCAGGCCACGCAATTAGAGCCAGTAGGGATGTGAGCTCTAACGGAGGTGGCACAGGGCACTGAGGACCCTCAGGAAGAGGGCCAGGGCGGCTGCCCGGAGCAGGTGACTGGTGTGTGCTGTGGGCTCTTCGGTCAGCCTGGATTTGAGTTCCAGCTGTGTGACCCGGGGGGAGGCATTTAGGCTCTCCCTGTCTGCTTCCTCGTCTATAACATGGGGGTTCTCTGGAGAAAATCCACCGCCCGAGCCTTTCTGAGGCCTCTGTGTGCTGGCCTGTGCGAAGCACCAAGTGCAGCAGCGTGGGGCACGTAGAAAGCACGCGGGGGGGTGTGCGTGACTCGCATCGTGGTCCTCACAGGGAGAAAGCGCTCTCCCCATTGGTGGGCAGGCGGCTGGGAGGGCAGTGTCTCCGACCGCCATCAGAGAACCCGGATGGCAGGGATAAGGCAGCACGCTTACCAGGCCTGGGGTCCTCATCCATACCTGCCCCAGTCCCTGTGGGGGATTAAGAGGGAGACCAGGGGCCCACCAGGACCCGGGCGCCTGTGGGAGGTTCTGCCCACCGCCCCAGGCCCGGAGGGCTCTGCTTCCCAGGTCCCTGCCCGGTAGGAGCACAGCTAACGCGGGCACAGAAGGCCTGCCGCCCGCAGAGCACAGGTCTGATAGAGCGTGCGGCCAGCTGGGGACCGGCAGCCGAGAGCTTCGTGCAGTTAGGGATGAAAGGGAGGCCGGGCACCTCTCTCCTGCCCTCACTCCCTTTCATGTGGACTCTGCCAGAACCCGAGGCTTCTCAGGAGGAGCCCTTAGCCACGTGGGGCTCGGGGAGGGTGGGCAGGGCGTCCCAGCCCCTCCCTCAGGCGTGGCCAGACAGGGCTCAGCAGTGCTGGGAGGAGGAGGCCTTGCCCAGCGTCCTGCGGGTGGGGAGCACCTGTGCGGGGTGTGCAGGCCTCACTCCTCTGGTCTCTGAGAGAAAGGGAAGTTGGCACGTGCAGGGGTGGGGTGGGGCGGGAGGCAGAGACCTGTCTGATTGAGCTGTGCTCCAGGACACGGCAGGGGGCAGGGCCGATCTCAATCAGAGTGGGAAGTAAGGAAGGAGATGAGGTCCGTAGTTCCCCAGCAGGCGGCGGGCCTCACCCCTAGGGAGGGCCCTGGAATCTGCTTCTTCGACAGATTAATCGGCCGCGTCTGCTCTGCTGCAGGATTGGGGAGCTGGGTTGCCGTGGCTCCGTTCCCTTCACACTCCAGCAGCCCGAGTTAATTGGGCTCATTCATAATCAGTCTCAGGATTCCCCCAAACCCGGCGCCCCCAGGACATCTGACCCCCAGAGCTGGGTGACCCAGCCCAGGCCTGATGGCCAGGAAGATGGATGGCCTGGCCACTGGAGGGGACAGTGAGGGGGCGGCAGGAGGGAGCGTCCTTCTCCCCCAGGCAGCGCCTTGCCAGCCCATCCATCAGCCCTAATCACTGCTGGGAGAGAGCTCATTCTCGCTAATTAAAATCTCTCCGGCTGCAGTCGAGGCCCGTTTCCTCTCATTTGTGTTCTTTGGAGATGAGGGATGGTTGTTAGGCTGGACTTGCACACCCTGGGGTCTCTGTCACCTGCCTGGGGTCCCTGAGCCCTGTCACCTGTCCCCGGTGTCAACCTCAGGCAGTCTGAGCTTAGGTGATGAGGGAAGGGCAGGGGCTGGGTCGCCGTTGGGCAATTCCTCCCCGTGTGGCCCCTGCTGGCCAGCTGGGTCCATTGGCCCAGGGGACAGAGGCAGGACAGGTGGGTGGGGCTGGGGAATGGGTAGGCAGCTGGACCATGGACACACTATTGAGCATACAGCTAGGTGCCCCCCCGCCCCCAAGCTGCGACATGCCTGGCAACCCTCTCTCTTCCTTTCGACTTCCCCGAAAGCCTTCCATGAGACCTAGTTCAAACCCCACCTCCTCTAGGAAGTCTGCCAGGATGACAATCCCCACCCAGATCCGCACCAGTGGCTTCTTTCATGATTGGGGGTTCTTTGGTGCCATGCAGAATAGGGCAGGAGAGAGCTGCTGTCACAGGAGACACCAGGGCCCACATCACGGGCTGCTACGGGGTGGGCGCAGGGGAGCCTGGAGTGGAGGGCCCAGTTCCCGGTCAGCACGTGCTCTCTTCTGCCCAGTCCCCAGCCCCTAACCCGCCCCCTGCCTGATGCCGGCTGGGCTCACCTTGGCCCCCTGTCTGCAGCCTCAATCCCTACAGCCACGATGAGGGCTGTCTCAGCAACAGCCAGGACCACGTCCCTCTGGCCGTGCTGCCCCTGTTGGCCATCTCCTCCCCACAGTACCAGGATGCGGTTGCCACCGTCATCGAGCAAGCCAACCAGGTCTACGCAGAGTTCCTCAAGTCCCCGGACGGCATCGGCTTCAGTGGGCAGGTAGGACAGCTGCGCCCACCTCCCTGCCTTGGCCCCACCTGGAAAGAGGCTTGAATCTGCCCCAAGGATCTAGACCAGGCTGTTCAGGAGCCATGGTGTCTGAGATCCAAGAAGGTTTTTAAGATCGTTGGGTTTGACCCCATTTTACAGATAGGAAGAGTGAGGCCAACTTCTGAGTTCTGACTGTGAGCCCATGCTGAGCCCTGGCCTCAGCCTGACCTTGGCCCCAGTCTGACCTCTCACCCCAGCCTGATCCTGTCCTCCCCTGACCCTGGCCCCAGTCTGACCTCTCACCCCAGCCTGATCCTGTCCTCCCCTGACCCCAGCTGGCCCCAGTCTGACCCCGCACCCTAGCCTGGTCCTGTCCTCAGCTGACCCTGGCCCCAGAATGAGCACCCCTCCCCCTATTGCAGCTCTCAGGCCTCCCTGGGACAGGCTCCTTGTTATCCAGGTGCTCTGGGTGGGTGTGGGGGTGAGGGGTCAGCAGTGGCCAGGCCTGTAGTCCCAGCTGTGCCTTCTGCAGGTGTGTCTCATCGGGGACTGTGTGGGGGGCCTCCTGGCCTTTGATGCCATCTGCTACAGTGCGGGGCCCTCGGGCGACAGCCCTGGCAGCAGCAGCCGGAAGGGGAGCGTCAGCAGCACGCAGGTGCGGGCCAGGGGGTGGGCATGGAGGAGGGGTCTGTCCTGGGGAGCAGGGGCCTCTCTGAGGGCAGGACTGTTAACCCTTAACACATGCACCACGAAATCCAGATCACAAAGTATATATTATATCTCAATCTCACAGGAGTAGCAAGAGATTACTACCACAGGGGAGGAAATGGAGGCCCAGGGGGGGCTAATTTGGGGTCGGGTCCCCAGGTAGCTGCCCCGAGTCCCACTAACTCGCCAATCCCTTTGGGGGCAGGAGACAGCCCTGTGACTGAAATCCCACCACGACTGGATGGCGGCTCTCATGCTTCTTTTGGAAGATGCGCTGCCTCTCACGTCTAGGAGAAAGGGGCTCCTTGTGGCTGGGGAGGAGGCAGGGCCCCAGAGTCCCCGGTGACTGCAGTGCCCTCCTGCCCTCCCCTCGGTCCCACAGGACGCCCCGGGGGTGGAGGAGGAGTGCAGTCTGGCCAGCAGCAAGCGGCTCAGCAAAAGCAGCATTGACATCTCCAGCGTGTTAGAGGATGAGGAGCCCAAGAGGCCGTTGCCACGGAAACAGAGCGATTCCTCCACCTATGACTGCGAGGCCATCACCCAGCATCATGCCTTCCTATCAAGGTAACCATTCCCTGCATCCCATCTTCCTTCGGCAAAGCACCCGGAGCAGAGAGCACCTCTGCTTAGCGTCCTAGGGGTGGCTCAGGACCAGCCACATGTCCCAGGTCTTTCCTGGGGGGCCCGGAGTCAAGCCTGAGCCCGAGGCTGCTCCCCATGGGCCCCGGGCTGAGACCCTGGGCCCTGAACTCTGTCTCTGCTCCACCCCAACTTTCAGGGGGAGGGGACAAGCAGTCGCACATTGCCGAGCCTCAGGCTCATCTTCTGCGACATGGCAAATGGGGCCCAGCCTACTTTCCTGGCCGTTTTAAGAACCTGGTGTGTGTTTTGTGAGCGACTCCAGGCGTGTGTTCTTACTGTTTCTCAGACGAGGCAGCAGAGGCCACGTCAGTCAGGGAGGTTCCTGGGGCCACACAGCCAGGGACGAGAGCTGGGCGTGGCACCGGTTCCCCAGCCCCCAGCCCCCAGCACCCTTTCCTCATCGGTGCCAGGGCCTCCATGGAGCCGCCCACCCTTTAACCCTCTGGAAGGGTCATGGTCATCGACACCGGCTAACTGAACTATCCGCACGTTGTTCAGGATACATACAAGCAGGCATTGAGCACAGACCCACACCGGAAGGAATGCCTCTTCCCTTTCTCCTCAATTCTTTCCTCCGTCGCTCCCTCCTTCTTTCTTACCCAAGTGATAAGTAGCACGAGGCCAGCTCAGCATTTGGGAAAGAGACCGCCTCACCACCCAGAGGGAACCATGCTGATGCTTTGGTGTTATTTTTGTTCAGTTATATATATATTTTACATGCTTTGCAATTAGTGTTACTTTAAAAAAAACAAGCCCCACACACCTACCCTTATAGTGTGATTTTTCCCCCTGTATAATTAAAAATACTTGGTAGAGCCCTAGCTCAGTGGATAGAGTGTCGGCCTGTGGACTGAAGGGTCCTGGGTTCGATTCCGGTCAAGGGCACATGCCCAGATTGCAGGCTCGGTCCCCATTGGGGGGTGTGCAGGAGGCAGCCGATCAGTGATTCTCTCTCATCATTGATGTTTCTATCTCTCTCTCCCTCTCCCTTTCTCTCTGAAATCAATAAAAATATATTTTAAAAAAAATAATAAAAATAAAAATACTTGGTAGATAGCCTTAACAATATTTTACTGAGTAAATGGACACATTTACTTAATCCCAGTCACTGGACGCTTTGGCTTTTTCCAATTCTTCAAACTTATAAATAGTGCCCTGGTGACGACCTTCGTGCATCAACATTCATGTGCATATTCGGGCTATTTTGTTTGCATGCATTCCTGAAGGAGGAATTATTAGGTCAGAGGCACTGCAAAGTGAAATCTCTGGCTATTTAAAGCCCCTCCGACAGACGATTCTTTCAAAGAAAAGCAGTTATGTTTCAAGTCTGAGCTGCAAGGTAAAACCTCCACATTTCTGGTTCATCCTTGAAAAATCCTTTAAGAAAACCCCACATGTGCAGAGTGACAAGAAGTTGGAGGCTCTCAGTAGCTGGTCCGACGCAGCCAGCTTTTCCCTCTGGTGCAGGGACAGATGGCTGTTTCTTTGGCAATTAAGTAGTTGGCGGGTGTTTAGGGACCACGCTGTACATGGAAGTCGTATTGTTAAACGCCAGTCATCGTCCTCACGGCGAGATGCTCACACCACCCGAGGCAGAGGCGTGTGGCATGCGGGACCCTCGCTCACACCCTGTGCCAACTGTGATTCCTAAAAGTCCCTTTCTCTTCCAACTGGAGTATGTCAGTCAAATCTGCGTTCTATTAATCAATTCATCAATCACGTAATCCCACGGGATTGTCTTAAACGCAAGGCCACCAGCTAGAAGGTCAGGGAGGGCCCAGTTTTCCTGCCCTTCCCGGGCAGCCTGCTCTGGGCCTGCGGCTAAACATCAACTCAGACTCTTTGGGGGCACTGCGTGCCTGGGATGCGAGTGATTGGAATTCTGGGTCTGGCCGTTTTCTCTTTAAGCTCTGCTTCCTCTGCAGGCGGGCGGGGCGGGAAGCCGGAGCTGTGTGCATCTGTGTCTGCGGGTTGCCTGGAACATGAGTTACAACGAGAGCCCTAATCTGGCAGGACTGATACCGCCCAGCTGGTCTGTGTCGTGGCCAGCTGGGCTTCTCTGGTAGCTGGGGCCGGGATTCGCAGTGTGGCCATCACAGCCCCGGCACGAGGGGCAGGCCTGGCAGCGCGTGGGATGCTTAGTGGGCCCAGGTCCTCGGCCAGTTGCGGTGGATCGAGTTTCATTGGCCGCGCGGATTTGTTTAGGTGTTGTCTGTGGCTGCTCGCATGCTACACGGCGGAGTTAAGTAGATGTGATGGAGACCATATGGCCCTCAAAGTCTAAAATATTTACCATCTGGCCCTTCACGGAAAGAGTGGGCCGATGACCCCTGCCTTCGCCAAATGTTGGCCAGGCCTCGGTGGCCAATGCTGAGAGGTTGCCAGCTTGTGTTGATGGCGTCTAGCGAGTGGTCTCTGGTTCTGGGCCTGGCCCCAGAGATGGAGGGCTGGGCTCTCTGTACGCAGACCTCAAGCCGCCCTGCTGAGCGGATGCTTCCCTTCCCCGGCCCTTCCCTAATCCGCCGCCTCTGTCTCCCCGCTCCCCAGCATCCACTCGAGCATGCTGAAGGATGAGGCCGAGCCCCCTGCGGTCAGCCTGGGCCGCTTGGACTTTGACGTGTCTGACTTCTTCCTCTTCGGCTCGCCCCTGGGCCTGGTCCTGGCCATGCGGAGGACGGTGCTGCCCGCGCTGGACGGTGGGTGAGGCACAGCCTGGGGCTGAGATGCCTTTGTGTCACTAGCCCACTGTGTTGGGGCCTCAAATTGGGGAGAGTGGGGCGTCGGGGGCAGGGGGAGGGTGGGTCACGGAGTTGGGGTAGGTGGACAGAGAAGAGAAGAAGGAGGAGGCGGAGGGGAGAGGAGGAAGAATGGGGGGGTCGTTTCGCAGATGGAGCAAAGGTGAGGCAGCCTCTGGTGGATCTGACTGTCCTTGCCACATGCCCCTGGCTGACCTGTGGGCCTGTTGTTCAGTTGTCATGCTCTGTGGGAAGAGAAACCATCACTAGTTGCCCTGTTGCCCCCACCCTCTCCTTCCCCAGTGTCCAGGCAGGCCCACTGCAGCCAGGCCTGCCTTGGTGCCTTTGCTCACACAATGCCCACAGCCTTGAATGCCGTCCTCATTCCTCTGAAATGCACACCCAGGTGGTTTCATGGCAGGTGGCTGAGCCATGATTCTGAGGATGCAAGAGGCTGGAGGCACCTTGCAGATGCACACACCAGGGCTTCTCAAACTTCTTTTGTCCCAGAGCTCACTGACGATCTACAGAACAGAACAGAGAAACAGGGCGGGGCTCTGCATGACATGGGGAGAGAGAGGAGGCGGGACCCCACGGCTGCTCTGATGTCACTAAGGAACCCTAAGGCTCCCTGGACAGTGGTCAGTCCAGTCCCCTGACATAGAGGGACAGGGAGACGCACGGAGGAGAAGAAGGCCTCAGTGGAGACACCTGCTGGTCTGTGAGGGAAGTGTACTGCCGGCTCTGGCAAACCAAGAACTACCACCAGGCTAGGAGTTGGGTGGGGGCTGGAGGAAGGGGCAGCTGACCCTGAGGAAAAGAGCCTGGGTCGGCTGCATAGGTCAGGTAGCCACTAAGTGAGAGTGGAGAGCTGAAAGGGGAAAGTGGGCCTGCTGGGAGGAGGGCAGCTTGAGCCAAGGCCCAGGGAAAGCTAGCCTGCTGGGGGCTTTCACATGGCCACCGTGGTGCAGTCCGGGTGCCTACAGCAGCGCTCCCAGGTGGGACCCATGGGCAAGGCCTTGAATGCCAAACTGAACGTGTGGCTTTGATGCTGGTGGCGGCAGGGAGCCATGCTTTTCTTGAGCAGAGGAGCAGGCTACGCAACGCTGCACTCAGGGAAGCCTTCTAGGGCCGAGTGAGCGGGGACCAGCAAGGGGCTCCCTGTGTTGCTCCCAGGACTCCAGGTGCGTCCGGCCTGCAGCCAGGTCTACAGCTTCTTCCACTGCGCAGACCCTTCCGCCTCACGGCTTGAGCCGCTGCTGGAGCCCAAGTTCCACCTGGTGCCGCCCGTCAGCGTGCCCCGCTACCAAAGGTTCCCGCTGGGCGATGGACAGTCCCTCCTCCTCGGTAGGCTCCTGGTGGGGGTGGGGGGAGCATGTGCTGAGCCAGAGGCCGGGCCCCAGCCAGGCGCACTCCAGGGTCCTCGTCTCAGGTCCAGCCTCTCCAAGCTGTCAAGCTGATGGAGTGACTAGACCCATCTGAGCAGGCGCTGTGTGCTCTGGGGGCACAGGACAGGCAAACGGCTGACTCACTTGCTTTCCAAGCAGCCCACCTGTGCGAGCACCTGCTCTATAGGAGCAGCTTGGGTTTCAGAGACCCGAGCTCTGCTCCCTGACCAGCTTGCTGGCTAAGCTCCTGGGTCCGGGGCCAGCATGATACTCGTGCTGTCAGACCTCATTGGCAGGCCCGGGTCCAGCTGAGTGCTGTTGCCCAGTGCCCAGCCTGCACTCGGAGGTGCAGGGCGGGAGGTATCTCATCCCAGCAGGCCTCACGAATACGGGGCTTTTGACCAAGGCTCTCAGATGGCTGGAGAAGAGCTGGGGGAGGGGGGATGTTGGGGGATCTTCTAGGTCGAGCAGAAGCAAGGGCAGGTGGGTTTGGGGGAGGCCAGTGAGGCCAAGGGGAGGCCTGTACTGGACAGTCAGGGGCTTGGAGATGCAAGCCTTGGCTCCACCCCCCTGAGCCTGTTCAGAGGTGTGGCCAGATTGTGGGGGGAGAGAGCTGTGTCTGTGGCTCATTCAGGATGTAAACCCGCCCCCCCGCCCCCGTTTCAATGAAAACTCAATTTCCAAAGTCCCACTTTGTCAGGAGCTTCCACCGACAGAAGAGGCTCTGAAACCTCCCTCCCCGACCCTACAGTGTGTCCCTCTTCGGTCAGGGCATGCCCCCGCCCCCAGAGCGCCCCCCAGCTCCAGGCTGCGGTGCCCATGCACTTCTGGGCTCAGCCACAGGCCCTTGCAGCTCAGGGGGGAGGTCTGATACAAGAGCACATGGTTTGGGTCACCCGTGACCTTAGCTGGGGTTTGAGGGTCCTCTCCCAGGGGCGCCATCGGCAGCTCTGTTAGGGGAGGAGTGATGGTTGGGACCCTGACTTGTGCCCACAACTTAGAGGACATGAAACCCGACGATGTATTATGGGGAAGGCGTCCCAGCCAGGTTCCGGGGGGTGAGAGGTGCAGGTTGCCCGTCTGGGGTGAGAGAGCAGGGCCGGGGGTGGTCATCTCTGAGCGCCTGCCTCCCACCCGCGTGGGGCCGGCACAGCTTGGCTCTGTTTGAGACGAAGTTCTCCCTCCAGCGGATGCCCTGCACACCCACAGCGCCCTCTTCCTGGAGGGAAGCTCCCAGGGAAGCCCGCCGATGGTGGATGCCCCCGCCTCGCCCCCTCAGGCCCCGCGGCCCCAGCGCCCGGGGCGGAGGATGAGCCAGGGCAGCTCGCACAGCGAGAGCTCCGAGTCCTCAGACAGCCTGGCACCCGTCGGCGCCTCCTGCAGTGAGTGAGGGTCATCTGGGGGTCTCCCTGGGTTCAAGGGAGAGGAACCTACCTCTGGGCGGCCGCTGGTCCACCGCCAGAGCTGCTGGGGGCAGGGAGGAAGGGTAGCTGAAATCACACTGAACTCTGACCTCAGAGAGAGCTTTGACCCTGACTGTGGCATGGGCCATGACCCCTCCTGGCACAAACTGAGCTCTGACCTCGGCCAGAGCCCAGATGCCAACATTCAGTTTCCCCACTGGGAATCCTGCTGACCGGCAGCCTGGGGGTGGGACCATGGACGCCTCCGTGGGTCCCCATTCCTGGGGACCACGCTGGGGCATGTGTCCTAGAGGAGGGGTGGGTGGGAGGTGGGGGGGGATCCATGTCCCAGAGCTCATTGTGAGTGGGGTGCCGGCCTCGCACTTGCACCCCGAGTGGGACGTCCACCACTGCGCCTGTGCACGGGTCCCACACTGCCCCTTGGGTCCAGGCCCAGGCAGTCTGCTCTGTCCTCACCTCCCTCTCGGCCCCACAGTCACAGCCAAGTGGTGGGGTGCCAAGCGCATCGACTACGCCCTGTACTGCCCTGAGGTCCTCACCGCCTTCCCCACTGTGGCGCTGCCCCACCTCTTCCACGCCAGCTACTGGGAGTCCACGGACGTGGTGGCCTTCATCCTGAGACAGGTACTCCCCCCTCAGGGCCCGCTGCAGCTCCTGCCCTTCTGTGTCTGGAGAAGAGCTGGGCGCCGGCCGCCGGCCGCTGGGAAGTCCTTGCAGCACTCAGCCAGGTGGGAAGGCGACGGTCAGACAACGGGCTTCATAAGGAGCCTGGTACTTTCTAGAAAGTTAGATAGAAACTACATGGGAGAATGTACCCAAGTTTCAACTTGGAGACCGGAGTAATAAAGACCTGCCCTCTGTGGTCTCAGTGCCCTGGTCCATAGGTGGCACAGGCCAGTGAGTGGGGAGAGCCTGGGGGAGGAGGTGCAGAGGTAGGGGGCGGGCCCCGGTCACACACAGCCTAGATGGCCAAGGTCAGGAGTCTGATGCTATGCAGGGTCCAATCAGGAGCCATGGCAGAGTTTTGAAGAAGGGAGAGATATCAACTGACTTGTGTCTTTAGAAGGAAGGCTGCTGTTTGTGGGGAGAAAGCATGAGGCAGACAGGAGCCCAACTTCACGAGGGCAGCTGGGGCTGAGGTGCTGGTGGGGAGGCGCTGAGGGTTTGAGCTGCGGTGACGGGACCTGCTGACGTCTGCGCTGTAAGGGAGAGGGGAGCCTACGGGTCCTGTTCCACTTGAACATTTACAGGAGGGCCATTCCTTACGGTTGGGGAGGAGCCGGGCAGGGGTGGGGGTGGGGAACGGAGTCTTGTATCTGGGCCTGGGAGGGTGAGATGCCTGTTAGATGTTGAGAGGGAAGGGGAGTAGAAAGTCCGGAGCTTGGGAAGGTGTCAGGCTTAGTGATAAAAATGTGGGTGATCAGAGCTCGGATGGCGGATGGCATTTAAAGCCAGTGACAGGGTGACAGGTACAATGCTCCGACTTTGACACCAATTCCAAAGTGTGGCATCTTCCCCGCACCGAGCAATTCTCCAACACCAGCCGGGTGCCTCACAATTCAACGCAGTTCTGACACTGCCTACCTGGAAATAGCTCAGATCCCACAGGGTAACGGAGCAGTCCCACAAGGCTGACCTCACCCGCCTCAGACGCCAGTCGCAAGTCCGGGTGCCGCCTGGGCCTCTGATGGACTGGTCAGAGGTTCCCATTTCCCTTCCTGGGGTCTGATTACTGTAATTTGCTAGCGTGGCTCACAGAACTCAGACATTTTCCTTACTAGATGACAGTTTATTATAAAAGGATATAACCCAGGGACAGGCAGATGGAAGGGACGCATAGGACAAGGTGTGGGGAAGTGGCGGGAGCTTCCCTGCCTCCCCTGGGATGCTGCTCTTCCCAAATCTCCACGTGCTCACCCAGCTGGAAGCTCTGCGAACCCTATTTTTGGAGGTTGTTATGGAGGCTTCACTACTAGGCTCGATGGAGTAAATCGTTGGCCACTGGCCAACCTCCAGCCCCTCTCTCCTCTCTGGAGGTTAGGGGTTGGGACTAAAAATTTAAACCATCTATTCACAAGGTTGGTTTCCCTAGCAACCAGCCCTCCCTCCCCCCGCCAAGTCACCTCACTAGCATAAAAGACACCTTTGTTGCTCTCATCACTTGGGAAATGATATGGATTTTAGAAGCTCTGCACCATAAATGGGGATGAAAAACAAATATATATTTCTTATGATAAATCACAACACCACAGACACTGAGGGAGTTTCCATAGAGAGAGAAGTTCAAGGCTGAGTCCTGCAGCTCCGAGAGAGAGAGGAGGAATCACTGAAGAGCAAGAGAGGATGGGTGAGAGAGGACCTTTGAGTGGGGCAGAATGGAAGTCATGGGCGGGGCTTTGTCGAGAATGGCTTCAGTGGAGCAGTGGGGACAGAAGCCTGATTGGAGTGGGCAGAGGGAGGAGGCAGGGAGGGAGGGGAGACAGAGCACAGGGTAAGAGAGAGCAGAAATGTGATGATCATTGGAGAGACACCAGGGGTCCTAGAGAGAGTGTTTTTTCTTTCTTTAAGGTGAGCACGATTATAGCATATTTGTATGCAAAGGAGAGTGGTTCAGTGGAGAGGGACTGATCAGTCCATTAGGACTGAGAGGGAATGCTGCAGGAGCAATGGCCTTGAGTGGCAGGAGGGGCTGGGATCAGGACTTCAGTGTCCTTAGGTGAGGGTCCCCTACCTAACAGGAGGGGAGACAGAGAATGGGTACAGACACAGATAGCTGTGCAGTCTGGGTGTGGAGGATAGAAGCTGCTCCCAGGCCAGAAAGCATTTGTGGGCCTGTGTGCTCTGGCCCCAGCGGTCAGGACAGGAGGGCAGGGACATGGGTCCTGGGGTCTCCAGCCTCCTGAGGGTTCCAAGCTGGGAGGTGAGGAGGCTTGGGGTGGGCCTTCTGGCTGCAAGGTGATGGGCCCTGACACCCTGGGAGGGAGGAGGAGGGGTGGAGATGGCCTGACCTGGAGCCCTGCTTGGCGTCTATTAGGTGATGCGCTATGAGAGTGTGACCATCAAGGAGAGCGACGGCTTGGATCCTGCCACCCTGAGCCCCACTAACCCACGAGAGAAGTGGCTTCGTAAGAGGACCCAGGTCAAGCTGCGGGTATGTGCTGGTGGGAGTCACGCACTGGTTGGGAGGTGAAGTGGGGTTGCCCTGGGGCCTGGGGCATTCACATGGCAGGTAAGGCCTTTGATTTGCCCCTCAGACCTGAGCGCTCACACATACTGGGCTTCATGCTTAGATGAGGCCCAGGGTGCTGCAGTGGGGGTGGGGTGGGGTGGGGTTTGGGGGTGTGTGTAAGATGGGAGAGTTGATTCCAGGTGGCCTGAATCCAGAGGAACCTGAAGAATGGGGGTCCAGGGCACTAGGGATGCTGAGATGCCAATTACGGAGCAACTGCTCTATGCAGGGCCTCTAAGATGTAGATGTGAATTGGAAAGAGCCCTGTCCAGGATTACAGGGCTCACAGTCTGACTCACCAAGTATGGTCTGAAGAGAGATTTGCCATGACAGAGGGAGGCAAAGCGTAGGAAAGAGAAAGAAAGGAGAATTGCAGGGCAGGACATGCATGGCTTCCATGAGGAGTCATCTTTAAAATAGGAGTTTGCTATACACACTGATTTATTCACTCAGTAAACAATCAGTGCCCACTGTGTCCCTGGTCCTTTTCTAGGGAGTGGGGAATAGGCGTTTACAGACACAGCCACTGCTGTGGGGGACACTTCCAGTCTGGTGGGAAGATCCAGACAGAGACCCCACAAGGAGTCCTAAAAGGTAGAAGGTGCTCAGTGCTCCATGAACGGACTCTTCTGTGTTTTGACATATTTATTGAGCTATAACTCAGGTATTATTCACCCACTTAAAATTCAATCGGTTTAGTATGTTCACTGATGTATGCAACCTGGCATTTCATTATTTCGAAAAGAAGCACCTTTCACCATCATCCCCCAGCCCTAAGCAATCAGCGATCTACTTTCTGTCTCTACAGATTTGCCTATTCTGGACATTTCACATAAACAGAATAACACAACATGTTGTCTTTTGTGACTGATTTCTCTCACCTGGCATCATGTTTTCAAGGTTCACCCATGTGATCGCATGTATCAGTACTTCATTCCTTTTTATGGCTGAATAATATTCCATTGTATGGATGTACCGCATTTTTGTTTACCCATGAATCACTTTTTACCCTTTGTCCACAATGAATAATGTTGCTCTAACTATTCGTGTGCAGGCTTTTATGTGAACAGATGTTTTCATTTCTCCTGGGCATATACCTAGGAGTGGAATTGCTGGATCAAAGGGTAACTCTAGTTTAATAATTCGAGGAACTGCAAAATTTGTCTAAAGCAGCACCATCACTTTCCATACCCTCAGCCGTGTACGAGGGTTCTGAGTCCTCCACATCCTCACCAACACATGTTATTATCTGTCTCTTGGATTCCAGTCATCCTAGTGGGTGTGAAATGGTATCTCATTGTAGTTTGATTTGCGTTTCCTTGATGACTAACTAGTAAGGTCGAGCATCTTTCCATGTGTTTGTTTCCATGAACCAACTCTTCTCCCTCCCATGTTCCTGTGAGGGGGCCTAGGTCCCGCCCTTGATGGGGTGTCCCCAGGGCAGGGTTAGTGACTGGTTCCTCTTTGTGTCCTCCAAGCCCAGCCGAGGGACCTATGCAGACGAGGTGAGGTGGCTGCAAATGTTTGTTGAACTGAATTAAAATTCCCTGGGGACTGAGAGGAGGTAGAGGCCCTTTTGAGGTGTCCAAGCAGTGTTTCTGGGAGGGGACAAGATTGAGTCAGGTCATAGTGGATGTGCTGGAATAGGGGGGCAGGAGGCCAGCGATGACATGTAGAGTGAGGGGCCCAGTGTGAGCCTAGGCCTGAAGGCCACTGCAGAGCCCAGCCTGAAAGGACCAGAGGGGCTTGGAAGGGGAGCAGGAAAGAGGGCTGAAAGGCTGCCCGGGCTTTAATGCTGAGCTCATGGTTTGGACTTCATTTGGGTGTTCCTGGGATTAACAGATTGGTGCTTTATAAAGCTGGTGGACCTGCCGGGAGGGGGGGTGTGTGTCTGTTTTTGAATATGGAGCTTCATTAAGAAGCCATTAGCAGAGCCCAGGCGAGAGAGAACACGGTGTGGGGTAGAGGTGCCATGTGGGCAGTTCTGTAGGGGAAGGGCCACCAGATTGAGTGGCTGCGGTGTTGAAGCCAGGCCGGGAGTCAGGGTGCTGGCCAGTGGAGGCCTCTGAGCTGCAGAATGAACTGACGCTGGAAGGGAAGAAGGGTGGGATGTTGGGATGGCTGCAGAGAGAATGATGCGATGTCCGGGATGGCTCCGGACCCTCTGGGGTGGGGTGGGGTGGGGACTCAGCAAGCGAAGGGCACCAGAGTGGGTGCGAGTGGCTCGGCGGAGGAGCTGGTGTCAGGCACACGATCCTCTCTGCTCTTGTACATCCTCACGAAGAAGTGACAGACGGTGAATGGCTGTGGGTGTGAGCAGAGAGGTGGAAGGAAGAAGCGAAGTGAGTGGACTGGCAGTTTCCAGCCTAGGAAACTAGGAGGGTGCCAGGCTGTGAGGACTGGCGGTTCCTTGGGGCCGTGGGGACAATAGAGAGCAGAGGATGCTCATCACCAGGGACCCCAGCACTCGACGGGGACAGCGTTAGGGTCTTAGGGTCTGTTTTTCTCGTGTGAACGTGTCTTGGGAGCTCTAATGGGGGCTCATAGGAAGGCATTAGCAGGTCCATGTCCCTCCAGCTGAGCTGGTTTCTGTCCTTGCAGAACGTCACTGCCAACCACCGGGCCAACGACGTGATTGCCGCCGAAGACGGCCCCCAGGTCCTGGTGGGACGGTTCATGTACGGGCCCCTGGACATGGTGGCTCTGACGGGAGAGAAGGTAAGAGGCTGGGCATCCCCCCCCCCTTGACTGCCCACACGTGCACCAGGTGCCTCGTGGTACCACATGGCACGAGGGCTGAGGGCTTTGGGAGACTGAGCTGGGAGACACCCTGCCTGGGGAGGTCGGAGGAGGGGGGGAAGCCAGGAAGCAGGGGTGAACTTGGTGCATCTGAGGGGCCAGTGGTGGCTGCAGTGGGGAGAGACGGTGGTAGAACCAGGAAACATCCGGCAGGACCCCAAGCCCCAGAGTCCTGTTTTGGCAGAGAGCTCCCTGGCCGAGCCCCCAAGCCAAGCCTGCAGCCCCCCAGTCTCAGTGCGTTCCCTGGCCCCCTCGCTGCCTGCAGGTGGACATCCTGGTGATGGCGGAGCCGTCCTCGGGCCGCTGGGTGCACCTGGACACGGAGATCACCAACAGCAGCGGCCGGATCACCTACAGCGTGCCGAGGCCCCGGCGCCTGGGGGTGGGCGTGTACCCCGTGAAGATGGTGGTCAGGTGAGACCCAGGACCACTGCCCTGGCCCTTCCGGCTGAGCCTCTCCGGAAGATGGGGCCCTCGGCTGCTCTGTTTTGGGCCTCATCCCTGCCTGAGGGGAGAGAGAAAATGGCCGAGGTCATCCTCAGATTCCCTGGCCCCAGACTGAGCTCTGACCCAGTGGCACGCTGACCTCTGGCCCCCGGCTTAACCCCTGACCCGAGCACATGGCTGACCACCAGCGGTGCTTTTCAGGGGCGACCAGACCTGTGCGATGAGCTACCTCACGGTGCTGCCCCGTGGCATGGAGTGCGTGGTATTCAGCATCGACGGGTCCTTTGCCGCCAGCGTGTCCATCATGGGAAGTGACCCCAAGGTCCGGCCGGGGGCAGTGGACGTTGTCCGGTGAGTGCTACTTCCCTGCAAGGGATGTGTCCCCCAGGGGCAGGAGCCAGCGGACCTGGGGGAGAGAGATAAGCTTTTTCTGGTTTCCTCCAGGAATCCTACTGGCCTCGGGGCCAGGAGCCCGAAGCCTTAGCTTCACCTCCGGTGTTAATTTACCTGCGTCCCTCAGATACTTCCTGCTGTGTTCTAGACCAGATCCTCCTGCCCGCCCTGCCCTCCTTCCTCCGCTTACTCTAACTCAGTGGTTCTCAACCTTGGCTGCACATTAGAATCAGCTGGGAATCTTTTTAAAATCCTGATTTCTGGGCCTCATCCTCCGGAAATTCTGTTTCTTTGTTACTAATGTTGTGGCCCCGCCCCATAACAAAGAAACAGAATTTCCGGAGGATGAGGCCCAGAAATCAGGATTTTAAAAAGATTCCCAGCTGATTCTAATGTGCAGCCAAGGTTGAGAACCACTAACTCTATCTGAGCATTCTCTGCAGGGAATCGGGCCTGGTCTCTCACATTCTGACCCGAATCAGGATAAATCCGTGTGTTCTGATGATCTCCTGCTGTGTAACAAATGGCTCCAAACTTAGCTTCTTAAAATAATAATTATTATTCTGTCTCGTGGTTCTTCGGACTGTCGGGTTCTTTTGCAAGGTTCTCGTGTGTGGTGTCTCTAGCAATTTCAGTCAGAAGGTGGTCTGGGCTGGGGGTGTCTGAAGGCTCCCCTGGGCCGGATGTTCAGGAGGGCTGGCTCCTGACTGCATCTGCTGCCCTTGTCTAGGGGCTCTGTTTCTCCCCGTGGCTGCTGCCCTGGGAGGCCTCAGGGTATTCAGACATTGTACAGGGTGGCTGGCTCCCCCTGGGTCCCAGATCCAGGTGGAAGCTGCAAGCCTTCATACGGCCCAGGCTTGGGAGGCACAGAGCCCTTCCCATTGCATCCTGTTGGTTATCAGCGAGTGTGGTCACTCCAAGTGACCAGAACCCCAAGAGTGGAACAGGTCCTGGGTCCTGGGAGTCCTTGGTGTTGGGATAGTGACTGTCCGGCCTCGCCCCAGTAGCAGTGACCGCTTTGGGGAGAGAATACTATCCTGGCTCCTAGGAGACTGCTGACCTCATGATGCCCCGTGGGAACAGGTCATGGACAGGCTCAATGGCCTCTCAGGGGGCAACCTCCCCCGTATGAGTCTGTGCCACTTATTCCCTTGAACATCTTCTCCGAAGCCCTCCCTGTCAGTATCCCGCAGCTGGGGAAGGGAGGCTGTGGTTGGTCCTTCCTCTCTGGGGATCCTTCTGGTGCTCGCCCCTCTTTCCCGTGGGCTCCTGGGGCCACTCGGTGCTCCCCAAACGTTGCTGCCCATCAGAAGCTGCTTTTTGTCATCACAGATCACTGGATCCCACGTCAGTCTAACCAGACTCTCTGGGGGTGACACCGGGGCCCGTGCATTGTTACAAAACCTCCCCAATCTCTTCAGTCACCTGGCAGGTCTGGAAACCCCCCATCTGTAGTGGCCAGTGGGTGGCTAGTGCCCCAGAAGCTCGCAAACAGGCCTGCGCGTAGCTGACTTCTCCCAGCCAGGATGCCATGCGAGGCAGCAGAGCGCTCAGAGCAGGAGCGCTTATCCCACTGTGCTGGGTGAGCACAGAGAGGAGACGCTGATTCTGCCTGGGAAGCAGGGAAGGCTTCTGGAGGAGGGGCCTGGAGAGCCGGAGGATGGGCACATAAGGGGATGGGCCCTGAGGCTGCTAGGGGAGGGTGTGCAGCAGGAGAGTGCAAGCTGGTCCCGGGCAGCCAAGCAGCTCTCTGTGACCGGGGGAGGCCAAGCTCAAGGGCACAGCATGGAGGCCACTAGTGAGGAGAGGGCTTATGGCCTCAGGGAACTGGGGAGCCAGGAATGGCTTTTAGGCAAAGTTAGATTTGTGATTTACAAACATCACCATGGCAACAGGGGCTAATAGTGTAGCACCTATATAAAACACAGCATGCCAGGGACATTTGGGGTTAATGCATTTATTTCATCCTTAGCATGGCCTGCGTGGTAGTTGCTAATATTATCTCCATTTCACAGACATGAAAACTGAAACCCTGGGGTTAATTAACCTGCCCAAAGTTGCAGGCCCAGGTTAGATTGAAGTGTGTGTGTGTGTGTGTGTGTGTGTGTGTAGGGGGGAGGGGTGTGTGTGGAGCAAAGGGCCCTGCCAGGAGGCTCCTGCAGTGGCCCAGGCAGACCTGGGGCTGAGCTAAGGCTGAGAAGTGGATTACAGTGGGAGGATGCAGTAGGACCTGGTAGAATGAGAGGCTGGCTCCCTGATTGGAGGAGGAAGGAGGGCGGCAAAGGGAAAGGGGAGGAATCAAAGGCGCTTATCTCTGGTTCCAGAAACTTGAATGACATTGGCAGCACCACAGAGAAGGACATGGGCCGAGGGGGCAGGAGTCGGGGACCAGTGGCTGTGAGCATGCGGTGCCTGTGGGCTACCCAAGAGAGATGTCCAGGACTCAGGGGCTCAACTGGGAGGATGGATTTGGGGATCCCCCTGGCTTTCCTGAGTGCTCCTTGGAGCAGCCCCTCCGTCTTCTCAGGAAGGCAGCAGGCGGGGCAGACCGCTGGGCAGCGGGTGGCCTGGGCGGGGCTGGATGCAGCAATGCCCTCTCACCAGGCACTGGCAGGACCTGGGCTACATGATCCTCTACATCACGGGACGGCCGGACATGCAGAAGCAGCGGGTGGTCTCCTGGCTGTCCCAGCACAACTTCCCACAGGGCATGATCTTCTTCTCGGACGGGCTGGTGCACGACCCGCTGCGGCAGAAGGCCATCTTCCTCCGCAACCTCGTGCAGGAGGTGAGCGGCCAGCGGGGGCGGGGCTGCGGCCGGGAGGGGATGCGGCCCCCAGGACTCTCCTCCGCACTCCTTCCCTCCTCCCTCAACCCCGTGGGCCCTCATCCCTTTACCCCACCACCTCCCATCGTGCACGTGGATGGCCAGTTGGCAAAGCTCATCCGCGTGGATCTCGGTGGGTCCTCCTACAGCCCTTCCAGGTGGGTATTGTTATCCGCAGTGACAGATGAGGAAGGGGAGGCTCACCGACTTGCCCAGGGTCTCAGAGGCAGACTGGCATCCTGTATCTCCTGACCCTAAAGCCTACCCTCTTGTCTCTGCAGTTGGTTATTTATTTAATAGGCACCCATGTCACGGCAGAGCAAGGCCAGTTGGGAGCTGGGGTCCTGGAGCTCTTCAGGGACCTGAGGTTGGCAGGTCTTGAAAACCTTAGAAGCCAGGCCCGGACCGTGAACTCTCTGCTGAGGCCAGTGGGGAACTATGGAAGAAAAAGCCATGGAAGAGCTTAAAGTGGCAGTGTCTAACTTGGGCTGGAGAAAGATCCCCCCGGCCACTCTGTGGAGAGCAGATTAATGGGAGAAGCAAGAGGCAGGGATGTCAGTTAGGAAGCTGTTGCCCAAATGAGAGACAGGAAGACCAGAGTCTAGTGGTAGCCATGGAGTGGAGAGAAAGCCATGGGCAAATCAGGAGTTAGAATTGCCAGGACCCAGTGATGGTTTCATGGAGGGAGTGAGGGGCTCTGAGATGTCCCTCTTGAGCAGGGGTCCTCAAACTTTTTAAACAGGGGGCCAGTTCACTGTCCCTCAGACCGTTGGAGGGCCGGACTATAGTTTAAAAAAGAAACTATGAACAAATTCCTATGCACACTGCACACATCTTATTTTGAAGTAAAAAAACAAAATGGGAACAAATACAATATTTGTATTTGCACGTGGCCCGCGGGCTGTAGTTTGAGGAACCCTGCTCTTGAGTAACCAGGAGAAATCCAGGTGCTACTGATCTGACCTGACTGTAGTCTCCATGGAGGCACAGTGGTGGCTGTTTTGTCACCAATGTATCTCCAACAAATGGGGCAATGATGACACGGGGTAGGCAAGCAATACATGTTAGCAGAATGAATGAATGAATGAATGAATGAATGAATGAAGTGAAAGGGGACCAGTCTGGGGGAAGATGAGCTCATTTGTGGACACATTGAGGCTGGTATGGCCATTGGACACGCGCTATGTCAGTCCCAGCTGAAGCAGGCCAGTGAAGCCATGGGCGGGGGTGAGAGGGGTTGTGCTGAGCCCCCAAGAGCAGCAAGGGGAGCAGCAGAGGAACCAGAGGGCACCAGATGGGAGGAGGCAGGAGGAAGGAGCTTCCTGGGATCGGGCAGGAGAAGGTTTCAAGAAGGAGGGAGTGTCCTTGTGAAGGAAAATGTCCTTATGATGAAGGCTGGACACTGCCAGCCTCGGTGAAGAAGGGGCACCTCAGAAGGTCAGAGGGGCAGAGGCGTGGGGTGGGAGCGGAGAAGGTGGGTCTCGGCTCAGAGGGGCAGTGGTGTGGGTGGGTGTGGACTCACTGGACTGAGGTTGCAGGAGTGAGCTGGGGCGAATCAGGAGGTCGACTGGGAGGGGCAAAGAAACTGCTCCTTCCTTTGGGCTAAAGGCAGGTTGGGGAAAACCAGCTAATGAGGAGAGGGCCATGGGCTGAGAGAGCCCTCTCAGGTTCGACTCCCAGGCCTGGGTAGCAGCTCAGGGAGGGAAGTCAAAATCGGCAGTTTTTGGGGGGTGGGGAGCAGAAAGAATATGCAGGGCCAGAGCTGTGTGGTTCTGTGGTGTTGCAGAAGCTCTCGGCAGCCAGCTTGTAGAAATGGAGAAGTGGATATGGAGAAAGTCCAGGCTGAGGGGTGTGTGTGTATGTGTGTGTGTGTGTGTGTGTGTGTGTGTGTGTTGGGGGGGGGGCTGGAGAATGCAAGGTGGAGGAGAGAGAACCCAGGGAAGCCACGGGGAGCCGGGGCAGGGTGAGGAGGGGGGGGTGCAGGAGAGGCGTGCAGAGAATGCAGGTGGGAAAAGGCCAGAGGCTGTAAGAGCCATAGAGGGAAGGGGGGGTGGTCAGCGTGGGAAAGCGAAGGTTCAGAGTTCAGAGGGGCTGTTCCGGTCCAGTCTTGGAGGTGCTGATCATTGATCTTAAAGAAGGCAAGACACTGGGTGGGTCATCCACGTGGACAGGAAGTCATCCCAGTGATGGTGGGACTTAGGAGGAAGAAAAGCTGGGACCAAGAGTCTCCAGTGAACTTGGAGGGAGGGTGCATGGGAGAGAAGATGACGTTGATGGGGGGCTCAAAGTGAGGAGCCACGAGATGGTGAGCACCTCAGAGGCGGTGGGGTTTCTTCCTGGTGGGGTGGGCGAGGATCTGGAAGTGATGCTGGAATGAGGAGGAGCTGGGCCATCCTCTGACTGGATGAGGCTCTGGGGAGGCCATCAGACCAGCCAGCACCAGGCCGTGGCCAGATGGCGCCTACAGCCTGGTCTGGTGGGGATGGCACAGGGTTGGAGGACAGACGAGACTGGCTCTGTGACATGGAAACCTGGGAACCTGGCACTCAACTTCCTTGTCCACAAAGGAGCGCTTTGCTTCATTGTCATATGACCTACGAATAGTGCTGCTCAGCTGACGGTGTGGTCCTGGCTTCTCCAGGCAGAACCCTGGATTGGGCCAGGGTGTAGGGTAGGTGCAGAGAAGGGAGGCCACTTCAAGGCAGACCCATGACTTGGATTCTATTGGTGCACAGAGAAGGCCCCTCCCAGCAGGAATTTCCTAGGGTATGGAGATCCAGGAATCCACTGGTGTGTGTGTGGGGGGGGGATTGACTGGGCCGCCCTCTCCCTCCATGAGCTGCTCTGTGTTTCAGTGCTTCATCAAGATCAGCGCTGCCTATGGCTCCACGAAGGACATCTCCGTCTATAGCGTGCTGGGCCTGCCGCCCTCCCAGATCTTCATTGTGGGCCGGCCCACCAAGAAGTACCAAACCCAGTGCCAGGTGGGTGGAGGCGGGGCTGGGCTGGGGGTCGGGGAGTGGGGTCCAGGGAAAGAGTAAGGGGGATAGGTGGTTGTTCCCTTCTTTGCTCATTCCTTCATCTGCTCATTCCTTCATCTGCTCATTCACTCATTCATTCATTCAGCAAATACTGCTGGACACCTGCCTTGAAACGCCCTGTGTTGCGGGGAGAGTCCCGGGTGGAATCGGTGGCATGTCATCCAGCCTAGTAGGCAGATGGAAGCATGTGCAGACAAGGACAGTGCAGTGTGCAGGAGCCATAGTGAATGAAGGGGGAGCACAGAATGGGGGGGCCCAGACAAGGACAGGTACCCTGCACTCAGAGCAAGGCCGGCTTTCAGAAGTGTGAGGCCTTGTCCTAGAAGGGCCTGCGGTTGGAGGAGCACTAGTGACAGAGGCAGCAGCAAAAGCAAAGGTCGGAGGGGACAGAGAACGTGTGTATTCTGGGAACTGCCAGTGCCAGCTTGGCCGAGTGTGACGTGGGGGCAGTGGGAGAGGGGCGAGGGTGGCAGTGTGCCCGTGTGGCCCGTGTGCCTTGCCGGTCAGGGCTCTGAGTCTGTGGAGTGTTTGCAATTCAGAGGCCGCAGGCGGGTGGGAGGAGGTGGCAGGGCAGTGGAAGGGGAGAGAGGTGGGAGGGCCTGAGAGGCACTTTTAGGAAGATGGACTGGATCTGGTAATGGCAGTTCCGATGTGTGGGACGCAGGAAGGGAAAGGCAAGGAGGGCATCCTGTTTCCGGCTTGGGGAGAAGCCGGTTGAGGAGCAGATGGAGGGGAAGGCAGTGAGTTTTTGGGGCCATGCTGAGTGTGACGGTGGAGGGACCCCTGAGTGGGGATCCCTAGAGCAGTGCTGATCTCAAACTCTAAATGCCTCCTGGGTCACTTGGGGATATTGTTTAAATGCGGGTTCGGATCTGTAGTCTGGGGTGGGGCCTGAGACTGCTGCTGCTGGCACACAGACCACACTGAGCAGCAGGCTGAGCACACAGTGGGAAGGAATGGCAAGGGGGCCATTGACGGGGCCAGAGCATGACTAAGTTCCCCCGGGTAGAAGGCGGATGGTGGGAGAGACTTAGAGTTTGGGATTTTAGCGAACGTGATAAGGATGGGAGTCCCCCCCACCCCCCACCCCCGCAAGAATCCAGAGGATCCAGAAGGCCCACAGGTACAGATAGACGTGAGGGCTCAGGCGTCCAAAGTGGGGCGGGAGCCTTGAATGGTGAGAACGTCCAGTTTCCTGCAGGTTCCACGGAAGAGCTGGAGACCCCATGATGGGGTGTCCCAGATAAAGGGTGACGCTGGGGGTGGGGGCAGGACCAGGCACCTGCCTGCCCCGCTGGCCTGACTCCTGTCCCCTCCGCAGTTCCTGAGCGAGGGCTACGCCGCCCACCTGGCCGCCCTGGAGACCAGCCACCGCGCGCGCCCCAAGAAGAACAACTCGCGGATGGTCCTGCGCAAGGGCAGCTTCGGCCTCCACGCGCAGCCCGACTTCCTCCGCAAGCGCAACCACCTGCGCAGGACCATGTCGGTGCAGCAGCCCGACCCGCCCGCCAACCCCAAGCCCGAGCGCGCCCAGAGCCAGCCCGAGTCCGACAAGGACCACGAGCGTCCCCTGTCCGCGCTCAGCTGGGCGCGCGGGACCCCGAAGTTCGAGTCGGTGCCCTGAGGGTGGGCTGTGCGTGGAGCAGGGGGCCCCTACCTGGCTGCCTGCGGGGACGGGAGTGGCTGCCTTCTCCCGGACACAGGCCCTTTCTTGCTTTTTCCCTCCCGTGTCTGTCCAGTAGTGTCTGACCACAGGGGGGAGGGGCCCTACCCGGCCTTGGGGGGGCTCCCTCGGCTGCCAGGGGGTGAGATCCCCGGTCTCAGTGCAGCCACTGCTGCCTCCCGGGTGCCTGCGGCTTCAAGCCCTAATCGGGGTTGATGTCTGTGAGGTGGGTGCAGGCCTGCCCGGGGCTGGAGTGTTGGACAAAGGCAACCATCTTTCTGGGTCCTCCGGGCTTCCAAGGTCATGCGAGGCAGGCCCCGAAGGGAGAAGCCCCCAGACCGGGGATCCAGGGCCGCTGGCAGGTGGAGAGGCGAGTGGCATTGGTGCCTGATATCCTGAGTCACCACCTTGGGTGTGGCTCTCCTATGGCAAAGCGGCCACTTTCTGGGAGAGAAGAGGGTGCCCCCTGGGCCAAGCTATGTTCAGGTGTCTGTCCCCAGCCCTGGGGGGAGGGGTCTGGTGCTGACGGGCTGTCCTGCAGCTGTTCAAGTCCCGCCTTCTGTCCTCAGTACCTTCACCACTCTCCTATGGCCTGGAGGGCAGTTGTTCCTCTTTCTGGAGTCCTGCCTGGTGCCGTCCCCTGTGAGGCTGCGGCCTTGGGCTCTGGCCTAGCTGGGCTGGCTGTGAGCCCTTGAGCCAGCTGCTTGCCCTCTCTGGGCCCTGCCTTCCTATGTAATTGCGGGATCTCCCCAGCTGAGATCAGATGGGGGCGCGTTTTGACTCCTAGGCTATCCCGCACTTCTGCCCCATGAGGCTTTCCAGGCCCTGAGCTCCTCAGGAGGGCCCAGGGATCCATCCTGTCCCCACAGTCGGAGAGTGGGACTTAGAGTGGGCGGGAGGGAGCAGCTATTGCCCCACCGCTTCGGAGGCGCCCCTGGGGCTGGGGGAGGGGTCCCTGCTCCGTGAAGAGGTGGTTTTGTACTGATGCCCACACCCACTGTCCCAGGAGCAGAGACACCGCCCCAGAGGGCATGGATTTGGCTCCTCCTCTCCAGCGCGGCCCAGTCTGATTCCTCCCTTTTGGCTCCTGGAAGGTGTAGAGCTGAGATCCCAGAGTTCTGGGGTAGTTTTGGCTCAAACTGTTGTATTCCCCTTCTTCCCCTTTGCCACTCAGCTTGGTTTGGTGCCCATAACTTCCTCCTGGATCATCCCCTGAGGTTGGTGGGGCTTATAGCTCTCCTGGGGCCCCTCGAAGCTTGTCCAGGCCCTCGTGCTGCTGGGCCCCTGGCCTGGGCACTGGTCTCCTGCAGCGTGGGCCGGGCTCTGAGCCCCTTGTGCTGTCACTGAGGCGGCCCAGTGCTCTGTGTCACGGGCCAGGCCGCCCCAGCGCCCGGACAGCTGCATACACAGCAGGCACCTGTGTCAGCTCAGTGTCGCTTCTGCTCAATGTCTACCTCTTGCAGTTCCCATGTGGCCAGTGTCTTCCCTGATGGCCGGCCGCTGCTGGTGGGGGCGGCTGGCACCACTGGCAGGCAAACAGGGCGCCCGACTGGGCTGGAGGGGTCAGGGATCCCAGCCCCTAACCCTGCTCTCTCGACTAGAAATGTGTCTTCTCCAGTCTGCCCGCTCCTGCCACCCCAGCCTGCCTGTCTGCCAGCTCTCTGCGCCCCTTCAGCCCAGCACCAGCATTTCAGCAGCACCGAGCAACTCTGCTGGGAAGGGGCGGTCACCCCAGGCTTGTCTCTAGTCCTGCCTCCGGGCAGTTCACATTCCTCCTTCACATGACATCTTTCCCGGCATCCTTGAGGCACCAGCTCATGTGGCTTAGCCACCTCAACCCTAATCCTTCCCTTCCCTCCCAAATAGCCCTGAACTCAACTTGGGCAGACGTATTCTGATTCTCTGAAACCCCATCTCCTCTTTGCAGAAGGCACTGATGTATTACTCTCAAATGATAAAATAATTAGCGTGAGATCCTCCTCCCCCCCCCCCCCCCCCCGTCCGATTCCCTTTGCCTTTCCTGAGAACCCCAGGCTTGGAGCCGGAGGGAGCAGGCATGCGGACACTGGGGAATTTGTGTCCATGCTGATTTTGGGGGTGGGAGCTGGGATGTGGGACCTAGGGGGAGGGCCCCCCTTCCTTTCTGGAGCTCTGATTGGGGCTCCGAAGCCTCGCCTGGGATGTGAGGGTGTACAGTGAGTGCTGCGGGCGGGCGCTCTCGCAGTGTTAGTGGGTGTGACTGTGTGGTTCTGTCTAGTGACCAGACTCGACATCGTAGGTTTCAGTTCTGCTTTTCACAGCAACTGTAACCAATAAGCACTTTCTCTAATGGTGGTTTGTTGCATTTTGTTCGTCCAGTTTTGTTGGAGAAAAACAAAGAGCCGAGTCTCGTGTTGTTCTCCGGAGGGGCCGCTGCCCCTCCCCAAGTAGTCCCGTGGCCCCAGTCGGCCGTTTCCTGGCGAATCCCTCCAGCCCCCGTGAGCCGGCTCCACCGGGGCCGGAGGGCGGACTTCCCTGCCTGACCAAAGCGCCCCGTTTCTCCGTGGCATGTTTGTTCCTCCCAGTTGGGAGGCTGTCCTGCTGGAGGGCCCCGGCCCGCCTGCCGCCTGCCTGTCCCTTCACCTTGTTGGGGGTTCAGGGTGCATCCACAGCCAGGGCCTGCCTGTCCCTTCGTCCTGTTGGGGGTTCAGGGTGCATCCACAGCCAGGGCCTGCCTGTCCCTTCGTCCTGTTGGGGGTTCAGGGTGCATCCACAGCCAGGGCCTGCCTGTCCCTTCGCCCTGTTGGGGGTTCAGGGTGCATCCACAGCCAGGGCCTGCTTGCGTGGCATCATGTTTTTTTTTCTAAAGAGTTCGACTCCTCCCTTAGGCTTCAGAAAATATGAAAAAAAGGGAGACTTTTCATGCATTTGGATGAGCGGCCCTCCTGCCCGAACCCTGGGCCAGAGAAAACAAACACGTTTGCACCCCAGTATTCAGACATCACTAGGGGGTGGGCTCTCTGGGTCTCCTTTTACCACTCTGGACCCAGACCCATGCCCAGAAGTGTCCTGCAGGCAAAGCGTGGCCCCCATTTCTCAGTGAAAGCTGGGCTTGAGGCAGCGTGCAGCTGTGGCGTGGCTCTGCGTGGACACCCCCACCCAGCCCAGGTGCAGCCGGCCCGGGAGGGGTGCCCGGGCTGCGAAGGAGCCTCAAAACTGACCCCGCCTTAAACAACCAACTTTCCAGCTGAACCCCAGGGGTGTGGGTGCCCAGTGTGCCGGGGACCTAATCTGCCACCAGAAGTCACCTCCCTCCTTCTGCTGCCTCTGGGTTTGGGGGAACTTTCTTAAAAAATCATACTTAGGGTCAAGTCCAAGCATTGAGGCCTGGTCTGGGTCCTGCTCTCTTTGCTGAGAAACCGAGAGGGTGGTTGGGGTAAATACCAGTTGGACCTCACTCTCGTGGGGACAAGGAGTGGCAGGTGACACCAAAGAGGGGCAGGACAGGAGGGTGGCTCGCTCATGGGGACCCCCACCCTCGGACCCCACCGTCCTTTCTATTTGTTTACTTGGTGGTGGCAGCCTGTCCGGTCTTGTTCGCCGTCTGACTGTTCCTGTGTGTACCTCTCAGTATTGTCCGTGGCGGGTGGATCTGTGGGGGAAAAGGTTTCTACCCCTCATGGCTGCCTTGTACAAAATCCGTTAGAAAAGAACATGTTGACTATCAGATTTCTAACGAGACAAAAACAGCATTACGGAGTTAAAAGATTTTTACAACGGGTCTTGATTTTGATGTGAGCTGGTTTTTAACTCTCAAACGTTGTCTCTTAAATAAAAACCTTATTTGCCTTTAAAATGTGCTTTGCTCTGAATGAAGCTGCGAAACCTGTGGCTGTTACTCCTGCTCTCCCTGAGCAGGGGGCTGGCTGCATGAGGTGAAGGGAAGTGGGGAGGACAAGGGGAACAAAACCCGGCCCCAGGACAGACCAGAGTGGGAAGCGCCGGGGCGGGGGGCGGGGGGGGGGGGGTATGTTACAGAGAAGAGATGTCAAATACAGAAAGTCTTTTTTTTTTTTAATGATGAAAGAAAATATTTCGTTATTTCCCATAGAAATACATCGAGAAAACCATTATTTTTGGTATATTTTGTACATGGTTATGTTACTGAACTCTCCTATTCTTCTTTCAAAAAATTACCTTTATTGTTGAAAGTATTACAGATGTCCCCCCTTTTCCCCCATTGATCCCCTTCTCCCTACACTCCCCACCCCACTCCCAGGCCCTCACTACACTATTGTCTGTGTCCATGGGCTATGCACATGTGCATATAAGTTCTATGGTTAATCCCTCCCACCCCAGCCTTCCCTCTGAGACTCCCTCAATCTGTCAGAGTCTTATTATGGAAAAGCAACATTATGGAGGGAAGTTATGCCCTAATTTCTTTCTAATAAAATGACAAAGCAGATTTCTTAAAGAATTTACAAAGGGCAGAAATTGCTGAGCTGTGCTACTCCTCGCTGCCATCCACAGTGCCCGGTGCTGAGAACATAAATAGGTACCCGTAGGCCCTGGGTCTCAGAGCCTGGATATCTCTCCCATCCCTCCTTTTGGGGCAGGCACGGGAGCTGTGCACCCCGGAGCCGGGTCTGCGAGGAGTCACCTCCTGGGCTGTGGCAGGCGGTCTCTGCGGGGCTCAGATGTGGTCCGAGTAGGAGAGCAGAGGTTCCTGACCAGCCCCCACCTGGGCCTCTGCTTGTCAGGTCCTTGTCAGCAGTGGCCCAGGGGCACTGCCAGCTCCTGGGGGCTTCCTCCAGGAGCTCAAGGGTGCGGAGGTATGGATCCCACGTGTGGGGGTGTGGGGTCAGGTATGGCTCACTTCCTGCAAGAAGGAGCTCTCTTCTTGCCCCTCATTGTGCTTCAGGGGGGTGGGGAGTGAGGACACCAGAGCCTTCCCCCAGAATGAGGAGCTGGAAGGTGGTGGGTGAGGTCGGCAGCTCAGGTCCGAGCCGGTAGGAAGATGGCAAGCTGCCCACTCTGCTGGGCGTCAGCTCTGTGGGTTTCTCCAGGAGACTCAGTTCTTTAACGCGCCTCCAAATCTGCACACGTGCTCATGTAGGAGGAGAAGGAGGAGAGGAGGAAGAGGACGCTGGGAAAGATGCTCGGGAGGAGGGCATCACCCGGAGAGCACTCCATCAGTCTCGAAGGAGAGAAACGGCCATGTCAGCGCTAGAGATGGGGAAGCAGGAGAGAGGCCATTGGGTGCGGCAGGCTCCGAGGGCCCTCCCAGCCTGGACTAGGCAAGACCAGACCCGGCAACATGGTGGGAACTTGGCACACTCGGCATATAGTCGCAGCTCGCAGGGCCACCTAGGAGCCTGTCATGGCCATGTAGGCCCAAATGGCCCCAAGTTAGGGCAGCTCCAGACCTGGGCTCTGCCCTCAGAATGGGGTCCTGAGCAGACAGACCAGGAACTCCAAGCAGCCACCCAGCATTTCCCAATTCCATGGGTGGGCAGGGCATAAGGGAACCGTGGGGAGTGCTGGTGGCAGGGCAGGTCTTCAGGAGCCTGGGGAAGTTCCAGGTGATGGACACGTGTGGCGGCCTGAGGCCCAGAAAGCCACGAATCTCCAGGGTGCATCCTCAACTGCCGCCCCAAACTACGTCTTTTATGTCCTTTCATGTTGCAGACAAAGAGACTGAGGCTGAGAAGGGGAGGGACTGGCCAGGGTCATACAGTGGTCAGAGCCAGAACCAGAGGCCTGCCTAAAAAGGGGGACCCTGCCAGCCCCTTTACTTGGGAAGATGGCTGCCAGCTTACCTCTCTTCAGCCGCAATGGCCTCGTCCAGCTCCTGGGACAGCTTCTGGAGACGGTGGATTCCTGCCCCCACGGGCTCCAGGTCACTGTCGGATTCACTGAACAGAAGGAAAGGCCACAGGCATCAGGGACTAGTTGGAAACCTGTGGCAGGTGCCTCCTTCCTGCCCCCCGTCCCCCCAACCAGCACTGCAGCCTGGGGCCATCACCCAGACCCTTGCTCCAGGAAGTGACATCAGAGCACCTTGGAGCAGCTGGCAGAGAACAGATGGATCAAGGCTCATGGGGTCGAGGCCAAGGGCAGGAGATCTTGCAGAAAGGTGAGCCCTGCTGTTTCCCACTTGAGTCTCAGGCTCCAGGTGGTTTTAAAACTGGCTTGTAGGCTCACTAGGAGGCTTGGGAGAGTGATACAGGCAGAGCTAAGCTCCCCTTCCTTTTATAGATGGGGAACTAAGGCCTTGAAGACGTCCCAAAGTCCCTGGCTAGTGGGGTGCAGAGCTGGCCAGAACACAGATGTGACTCAGCTCAGGGTGCCCCTGGTTCCAGGGAGCCCCCGGAGGGGCCCTTAGTGTTTTGGGGGGCCAGGCACTCTTCCACTTACCTGGGGGAGCAGAGGGGCTCTGTAGAGGAGTAGGGGCTCCGGAAGGCGGCCTCCCTCCTGGACCTCCGCAGAGGGTGGGCACATGGGCCCATCTGGGTGGAGCGGCGGTGACGCTCCCACCCCCAGGGGCCCAGAGTTGAACGGGCAGGGCCGGTTCCAGAAAGCCGGGTGCTCCTCTGGCTCAGGCTGCGAGCTGGGGGGCTACCGCCCTTCTGTGTCTCTCTCGTCCTCCTCCTGGCTTTCACCTGGGTTTCCACCAGCCACTTGGTGCCACTTTGGCAGGACTCCTGGATTCTCTGATGGGTACATGGAAGTGTGAGCACAGACAAGCTAAGGGCCACCCTAGTCTCCAAGCCACACCTCCACACCTCCACCTACCAGCCGTCCTAGCACACAAGCAGCTTGGTCTCAAGCGTGAGGGATGTGGGTGATGCCACTGGAGGGACCCAGCTCAGAGCCCCAGGTATGCGTGGTCTGCAGCAGAACCACTCTGGCTCACAGAGCCTCCAGGCGCCTAACAAGCCCTCTTTCGAACACAGACTGACCCCCAGGACACTGTGAGATCATTTGTCCCCCTGCTTCTGGTCGTACTCTGTTCCACCCTCCACACTGATGCACAGAGATCCCTCTCAAGGGCAGTTCTGGTCATGACACTGCACTGCTCAGTGCCCTCCCACAGCTGCTCATCACCCACAGGGCCAAGCCCTAACTCTCGGGCCCTTCACTCCGCTGGGGGATGGCTGTGAAGGCTCATCCTCAGCGAAGAGGAAACCAGAGTCCAGAGTTACGTTAGGTGAGTTATGTGCCCTTGGGCAGGCTGCCTGGTTTCATCCCCAGTCATTGGGCATAAAACATGGGGTTCTTCTAGACAAGGACTAACATTTGGCTCAGACACCTCTCTACAAAGGGTCCCCAAAACATATCCTGGTCCCATATCTTCAGATTCCCAGTCAGATACTAAGGAGAGCCCCCTCCCGCCCCCAGTTCTCCCCTTGGAGGTCTATTCACTCCCATGGCCTCTGTCCTTTCTAGGTGACACCTCCATGCCTCTCCGACTCTAGGTTTGAAGACACATCCACTTGGAAGGTCCACAGGCACCTCACACCCAACATAAGGGACATCTTCGTGCCCACACATCTCATCTGACACCTCAGCCTCCCAAATCTACCTTCTGAGCAGCTCTTGAGGCTGTTCACTCCTCTGCAAGGCCAGGCCCTCAGCGCCCCCTCATGGGAGAATCTGCTTTTAACCCCCTTCTATCTAACTCACCAACTAGCTAAAGAACAGGTTCTAGTATGCTAATTAGACCTGGTGCTCACCCTGCTGTAAATTCTTCCCACTGGTTCCCAAGACCACCAGTCTCTCTTGGGAGTGCCCAAACACCCTTGGCACACTGAGCCCCCTCTCACTGCCCCACCTTGCTCTCTCTCTCTTCAGCTTTCCACCTCCCTCTGCTTTGGGTCTGGGCTCACACTACTTCCCCTGTCACATGCTCCTCATTCTTCCCCTTTCCTGGGTGAATTCCATGGAATCACCTCACCTGGGAAGCCTTCATGACTAAGCTAGTTTTTGGCGTCCTCCCATCATTAGCCACTGGCTTACAGTCTCCATCACAATACAGAGCTATTATCTTGTAGAGTGAGGATGTTTTCTCCACGGCACTGTTTTCATTCCCTACTATGTGCCAGGAACTGTTCGGGTGCTGGGAACACAGCCACAAACAAATCAAAGTCCTTGTCTTCATGGAGTCTATGTTCTTGGGGGCTCCTTAGGGCAGCTGTTGACCTGGACCTGGCCAGCATTACCTGGGACACGGCCCCCAAGGCGTTCTTAGCTGAGCGAGCTGCAGCCTGGAGGCCCTGCTGCTCTGGCTCTGGGGTTTCCAGGCGTTTCCAGGAGGCGCCCGCCCCTAGGTTGAGGCTGACTGCTCTAAGGGGCAGCCTCCTTTGGAACTGTCTGCAGAGGGAGCCCAGGGCTCCGCCGGAGGCCTCCAGATGGCCAGCTGCAGGCTGCAGCTCCTCGCTCTCCTCCAGCTGCTGGTGGTCCTGGAGAGATCTCCTGCGCACGGACGTGCTCACGCTGGGCCACCGAGAGGCCATCTGTCTGTTCTGTTCACCAGACCCTGGGAAGAGGTCAAAAGGCAGGTCAGCAAGGCATCCTCCATCCCATTCCCAGGCTCCACAGAGACCTGGGTACAAGGGAAGAGATGGGATGGAGGCCCATGGGGTGGGTGGATGGCTCAGGCTGGGAGGGAGCAACCCTGGGTGCGGAAGAAGAATGCTTCCTGAAGGGGAGGGTGTGGTCAGCGATGCCCGGAAGAGGGCAGAGGCTGAACAAGGCTGGTCAGCATTTCCTGCGGTCCCTTGCTGTGTCTAGAACAGCTGTTTTTTCATCCCAGCCTCAGGCGGGGAGGGAGGCAGGGTCGGGAGCGGCCCTCCTTGAGCCTCAGCAAGGGGCCCAGCGCCGGATCAGCGCCTCCCACAACCCGCCCTGACCCAGCGAGCTCCCACCCAGACCCTGGTCGCCTGGCCAGAGCCCCCGATTTCCACCCTGCAACCCCCAGATGCCCACATGCATGCCTGTCCTAACTAGACACCCCCGCACCCCATCACCTCTGGTCTCTTCTGCACAGAGGCCCCGCCACGCCCCGGCCCACACTCACCCCAAAGCTCCCACGCCTGCGAGATGCGGAGCACAGATGCACCTCGCCCACCCGGGCCGATTTGAAACTCGGCGCGGACCCGCCCCCTGCCCGTCCTCGCAGCTGATTGGCCCCTTCCCCTCCTCGCTGTCGCGCCGGAGATCCTATTGGCTCTTTGCTCTCGCGGCCGTGAGTCCGGCTCTCAGATTTGCCGGCTCGTCCCCATTCATGTTCGGGACCCCCGCGGGCTGGGCGCCGCGTGAATCGGCCCCTTTGTGTCCGCAGGTCCCGCCCAGGCCCCGGGCCGGCCCCTCCTCCAACTACCGCGGCTCTGGCCGGTCTTACTGGGCGGCGCGGAGGCGGGCCCGGCTCCCAGGCTCCTCTCCCGCTCCGCCTGGAGCGTCCAGGGGTTTTGTCACAAAGAGTTCCCCGGGAGGTTTGGTTTCAAACTTCCCTCCTCACCCTCTGCTGCCCCGAGACAAAGCGCTGCGCTTCTGTGTTCCCCGGACTCGCCATCCACATCCTGCCCCGAAAACCCGTCCTGGAAAGCGGCAGATGGGAGTGCGCCTCCGCTCCGCCGCCGGTTAAGCACCCTGCACCCGGCTCCCTGACCCCGTCCCTTCTCCGGTTGAATGCCCCCCTCCCTGCCCTTAGCATCCAAACCGGCTAAAATATGGCATTTAGAAAGCCCCCCCCCCCCCCGTCCTCCCTTCCTCCCTCCCTTTACAGGGGACCTCAAAGCCGCACTGGCCACGCCACCCCTGGGGTTCCTAGCTGCCATCTTCATCGGGTCTCCCTCCCACTCCTCACCCCTGTGGCCACTCTCTTGCTGGTGGGCTCCCTGAAGCTCTGTCCTTAGTCTCATCTTCATCTCTGGGTGATCACACCCACTTCTCCGGCCTCAGTTATCTGCCCCCCTCCCTCCCCCCCCCCCGCCCCCCCCAGTGGAATGGTGAGAACCATGAACACATATGGGGCACTTACTATGCACCAAGTACCTGTGTTCCAAGCACTTTATACTATGAGCCCATTTGACCCTCCTTGCAGCCTGTGTCTAGATGAGGAGACTCGGGTACAGAGAGAGGTTAGGTTGGTTCCGGATTTCCCTCAGTTAGTACGTAGCAGGGACAAGGATACTAACTGCTGGTCTGGGACCAGGGTCCATGTGCCTCACGACCACACCACCGCCTCTTCTCAGCCTGCACCTCTCCCAGACAGGAATATCTCACCACCTCCTGGATACCAACTCCTGGGCACTGCAGGCACCTTAAACCACCACCCCAACAAACATCACCCTGTGTCTCCCAGCCCCCTTTGATATTTTACCTATTTTGTTGTTGAAAAGGCTGGTGACAGCTCAACACAGTGATTTTACAATGGTCACTGCTCCCGTTCACCGTTCACCTTGTTCCCTGGTTGAGTTGTTTCCCAGCCTCAGAAGTTCCCCAGCCTGCTTATGCCACTCGTATTTGTCATTGTAATCAGGGGATTTAATTCATGTCCTTTATCAATGAAACACAGGGGAGAAAAGCAAGTGCTATTATTTTTAGGAAAACTGAGCTGAAAGTGTGGGAAAGACTAGTGAGAGTGAAACCCTTCAACACAAGGACCTCAAATGGGGTCCTCTTGCTGCAATTGCCTGTCAGTAGCGGCCGCAATGCCTGGCACTTCATGTTCAGCGATACAACAGCTTATATCTGTCCAGCCCCTAGCATGCGTGTGCCAAGTGCATTTCTTTATTCTGCCTTAATCCTCCCGGCAACTCTATGCAGTAGATACGATTTGTATTCCCAATTACAGAGGACAACACAGGGACTCAGATGGTGCAGTATCTTGCTCAGGGCGGAACAGAGTCTGAAGCACGGGTGTCTGACTCTGACATCTGAATTCCTAGCCTTTGGTTCCATGGTCTCATTGAGCCTCAGGAAGGAATGAGTGAACACCCTCCCTGTCTGGGCGGTTCACCCTTTCCCAGGACCATAACTGGCAGGCGAGGTGAAGGAAGAGCAGTTTCCATGGCAATGAGAAAGGGAGGAAGAAACATTTGCTTCTCAATGAGAAGGCGCTCTCCCCCTGCCTTTGCGGGAAGCGGTGGAGCCAGGGGCAGGGTGCGGGGTGGAGGATGGGCTGAGGTGAGCAGGCCCCAGATGGAGGTGGAGGAGGGGGGGGGGGGGGCGTGCAGGGCTCCTGATCCTCCTGGTAAAGAGGAAAACCAATCAGCTGTCCCAGGCTGAGGCTTTCTGCGGTCCAGCCCCAACCCCTGCCCAGCCCTGCCCTGGGGGCTTCCTGTCCAACAGCAAAGCTTCCCCAGTTTCCTTGTCCTCGGGGACTGTCAGACTGAGGGAAGCAGCAGACTTTAAACTGTGCAAAATCCCACAGGTGGGAAGTGCAAGGGGCGGCGAGGGGAGGGAAAGGGGCAGGACCCACATTGGAGCTGGGGTCAGAGCAGGCTGCCCTTGGCATATGTAGGCTGCTGTCTAAGGAGTTAGGGGACAGCGAGAGGAGATGAGCGGATGCTGGGAGCCGGAGACTGCCAGGACCCAGGGCCAGAGAGGCTGAGCGAGAGGGAGGGCAGGGGCCTGGGTGGTAAGAGCCAGGAGCGCAGGGCTCTTGGCAGGAAGGGGCTTAGGATTTGACCGGAGGCAGTGGGGAGCCTTATTGAAGAGGGCAGTGGGGTTATTGGAGTTGCATTTTAATGAAGGCCATTAGGAGGTTAGTTTGGGGGCCACAGGGTGGCTGGGGGTCTGTCTGGAGGCTGAGGCCCTAGCACCTCATTCTTCTCAGCCGTGAAACCGAAACCACTGGCATCAGTTGTAACACCCCCTTCCCTCAGGCCGGCCCCCCACCTCCCACCCCTGCCACCCAGGGGCCCAATCTGTCAGTCTACCTCCTCTCAGTAACTCTGCAACCCCAGCGTGTGCCCTTTGACCCTTCTACACAGGGAAGCCATTGAAACAGTGGGAGAGGTTGAAGTGTGAGGCATGATTAGAGCCTTTCCTACCCGTGTGAATTATGTCACAAACAGAAACATGCTTAAACCATGAGGCTCAGTATGATGAATACTGAGAAAGCAAACCCTCATGTAACCGTCACCCAGGACATCGCCAGGACCCCACCCCTGCTGCGTGTCCTCCCTCCCTCCCTGGACTGTGTGGTGATCACTTTTATTTTCCTTTGTAGTTTTCATCTAAGAGTTCATCTTACCTCCGATGCTCTAGGTTGCTGTGTGTCCAAGAAAGGATGGGACAGAAGAGGAGGATCTCTGCCCCCCACCCTGACTCCCTGCCCCCAGAGAAGACGGGAGCTGGGCCCTCAGGAAGCAGGGGTCTGAGCACTAGGTGGGGGGAGTCTTGGAGGGGGTCTGACTTGCTGCCTCAGTCTGGGCTCCTGGGCCCAGACCAGTTGGCCCAGGCTGGGTTTCCTCTATGCCAGCCGCTAAGGGAGACTTTCAGGGGTGCTGGGTTTCGGGGTTCCATTCACTGCTCAAGGGAGGCCTCTCAACTTCCAGGAGAGGGAGGCAGGAAAGTGATTTTCCCGTTTCAGTTGGGGAAATGGAGTTAGGGATAGGAGACACCTAAAGCCACAAGGTCAGCCCTTCACATGCAGCTTTGCCTGGCTCACTCGCACTCCCATCTCTCCCTGTGGCAGCGTTCTTCCCATCTCTAGGAAAGAGGTCAGCCGGCGTCCAGAAGAGAAAGGTTTTGTGGTGTCAGAAAGAATCCTCATCATCCTCAGGACCTTGAAAAGACCAGGTAAAAAACTTGAATCTGCCACAAGGTGGCACCAGACACAAACTCTTTACATGATTTTTCACTTGGGAGCAGAAAGGGGATCCCTGATACTCCGAATAAGCTCTGCGGATTCCCCCCAAAAAGGAGGGGAGACCCCCCGCTGCCCCCAGCCAGACATTGCAGGAGAGGCTGGAATGGGGCTGGGGAGGGCTCCTCAAATTCATCCAAGCTGCCCTGCTTTCATACCGTTTCAGTGTTCTCCCGAACTAGAAACCTGCCAGCCCTCTCCCTCCACAATGTCACGTCCTGTCCTCCTGTGGGTGGATAGGGTTTGGGGAGAAGAGGAGGGAGAAATAGGGAAGAGGGAGAGCAGGGACCACCCAGTCCACAGGGCCCAGCCTGGGGTTCAAAGAGACTAAGAACCTGAGACCAGGGCCACCGCCAGGGACAGGCAGGGCGAGGGGCTTTGGGTCAGTCTCTCCTTTTCTCCTTCGGTGGCCCGAGTCCTCACTACTGCTCGCTCCCTCAACGCTGTCTTCTTTAAGAAGGCTCCAGGTGACTCCCTCTCTGCTTGACGTGGGACAAAACCAAAGCTGATGCAATAATGTGTCAGGCCTGGGCTCCCATCCCCGAGAGAGAAGCAGTGGATGGATGGGGAAGAAGGCTGGGTTGCCAGGGAGTGGCCCTGAGGGAGGAGCAGCCTGGAGCCAGCATGGGGCACCACCCTGCCTCACTCCTCTAATTCGCACCCCTCCCCTCCCCAGCAGGGCAAATCCCTGGGTCTTAGCCTGAGGGCCTTCCTTTGGTGAGATTATATCAACCCAGGCTGGACAGCTCCCACAGCCATGGATGCCGCTCTGCTCCTGAACGTGGAAGGGATCAAGAAGACCATTCTGCACGGGGGCCTGGGGGAGCTCCCAAACTTCATCACCGGAACTCGAGTGAGTGGGGCCACGGCAGCCTCCGCAGCCCGCTGGCCACACGGCACTGCAGACAGGTCTCAGCTTTGCCAAAAATGGCCAGGCAGGCCCTTCCTGGGATTGTGAGCCCTGAGGCATCTGAACGGGTGTCTATTCGCTGGGCATTTTGGTACTTTGCAAATTAAACTACAGCATGGGATGGGGGATGGGCTTTGGGAGTTTTCGGGAGCCCCAGATGTTGAGTGAGAAGGTGAGAAGGTGGGGCTCTCTGGGATCCTGCTGTTTGGCCACAAGTCTCTGGTGGCTCCCCTGGGTGATGGGCTGTGTCGGGGGTCTCAGTCCTAGGGCTGATTTAAGGAAGGACATCCTGACCCAACAGAGCTCTCAAGAGTGGGACGAGGGTCATTTATGGGGGAGGGGGTTCCTCATCCCTGGGGGAGTGCAGGCAGGGGGGGGGTGCTCTGGGGGGTCTGAGGCATCTGACTGGAGCTGGGGAGCGGAGCCTGAGGCCAGCCCTGAGAGTCGGTGACAGCGGGGTGGCACCTGCTGGGCCTCGGGAGGTGTGTCTAGACCAGGGCCCACTCTCTCGGGGACCAGGTGACCTTCCATTTCCGCACCATGAAATGCGACGAGGAGCGGACAGTGATCGACGACAGCAAGCAGGCGGGGCAGCCCATGCACCTGATCATCGGGAACATGTTCAAGCTGGAGGTCTGGGAGCTCCTGCTGACGTCCATGCGGGTCCGCGAGGTGGCGGAGTTCTGGTGTGACACCATCGTAAGTAGGCCAGGCCGGCCCAGACCCTGGGCTGATTTCTACGGGGCCCAGCCACCCACTCTGTGTGTTTCAGGGCTGCTGTGTCTCAGGAAGGGGGAGCCTAAAACAGCACTCCCCGATGTCGCGGCTGGCTGGAGAAATGGGGGTGTTAGGGATAAAGCAGGCAAAGTCCCTGGCCTTTAAGGAACTGGACTTCTGGAGGAGGAACAGACACCTAAGCACACACAGGGCGGGGCAGCCAGTGCCATGGCGTAACGCAGCCGGGGCAGCGTGCTATAGGGCCACAGGAGAGCGGCAGCTGACTGCCTTGGGGTTTTAGGGGAACTTCTTCAAGAAGGTGTGATTGAGCTGGGTCTTGAAGGATGAATAGGAGTTCGCCAGGTCTAGAAGTGGGACGAGAGGCAGCACCCGGCCAGGAAGGGTGAAAGGCGTGGCAGGTTTCATTTGGGGGGCCCCTCTCTTTTATGGGGCAGCTCCTCACTTCATCATTCAGTTTTGGAAAGACTAAGCCATCAGTGGGGCAGGCATATCTATTTGGCCAAGACCTTAAGAGGCCTGTTCTCCCCTAGCAGTTGCTGCTTGTCAGCCCCTGCAGAGCCCTTTGCTTGGACAGTCTCTCCAGGCCAGGGGCCTCCCTCCCTCCCCTCCTCCCCTCCCCTAAACCAGAGGGGCTCTTGGAGCTTCTGCCCTGAAATACATCCCTCCTTGTTCCCCCCTGATCCCCACTCCTTAGGGAGGGCGCTGGCCTCTGGGAATTTTTGCTGGTGCCGTCTTATGAGGCCAGAGGCTGCAAACTAAAGTCCCACTGGGAGCCAGGAGCTTGCTGACTGGAGGTCGCCTGCTCCCAGCTCCCACTGGGCAGGCAAGTGGATAGTCTGAGTTTTTGAGACAAGCGTGTACACTCTCTCAGTGTTTAAATGTTAGCAACTAATCTATAGAAGTCCTCACCAAAGGAGGGGTGAAGCATCCCAGTGTGGGAGCTGAGTGAGGCCTGGGTGTGACTGCCAGGGTGGATAGAGCCCCTCAGGCAGAAGCAGGCTGTCCCAGAGCCCCAGAGAGGGGCGGTGTGGGGAATCCCTGCCGCCATGGGCACAGCCATGGGCTGAGTGAGTCTCCTGGGACTCTGGCTTCCCTGCTGGCTGCAGGGGGGGAGGGGGGGGCCCAGAGCCGGGACCCTCTCCCTCCTTCCTCCCTCTGAGTTGCTGCCCGAGTGGGGGTGGGATTCTGGAGTTGTGCCCCTTCTCTGGCCTTTGTCTTCCTTTCTGAGACTTTATGCCACCCCCGGTGGCATCCCACAGGCACTGTGCTGACCAGGCCTTGGCAGTGCCTGGGCAGCAGGTGTCCAGAGGAACAAGGCCTTTGAGGGCCTGTGAGTCGGGGCCCGGAGCACCTCCTCCCTGTAGGAAGCTGATCCTGGGCCTTTCCCCAGCGCCCCCCCCCCCCCCGCCCCGGCCCCCCCTCCCCACAGTCCAGCCCTAATCCCAAAGGCTTACACGCCATCTGGTCACCTCTCTCACAGAGAAGCCCAGGGCGTTCGGGGCTGACCCCAGCTGGCGGGGGCAGGGAGGGGTGACCTTCATCCTCATGCTGGTGACTTCCCAATAGTGTGGAGCTGCCATGCAGAGCCTGGCAGGGGCCTTGTCAGGACCCAGCCCGAGGAGCGGGGCTCTCAGAGACCATCCTGTGGGGCTTTCCAGTGCCGCCAGGGGGGAGGGGGGGGGCGGGGGATGGACAGGGGAGGGCAGCTAAGGCTAAGGGGCTGGCTTTCCCAGGCTTGTTCTGCCTCAGGGGTGGCAACCCCAGCTCCCCGGGCTGGCCGAGGCTGTGCTGAGCTGGACCTACATCCGCATTAGCTCACTGAACCCCTGCAACAGCCCCACTACTGGACACGTGCCACCTGGGGCGCCTGGAGCTCGGCGGGCGCCCTGGGCTCACTGCTCACCAGAGCTTGGCCAGGATGCCAACCTGGACCTCAGGGACCCAGAGCCCTCACTGCTCTCCTCACTCCCCTCCCGCGAGTCCCAGGCTTGGGGGGCTCAGGGCCTCCGTGGGAGAGAAAGGCATTAGCCTGACAGCCAGGGCCGCCAGAGGCAGCGTGGCACCGTGGCTCCGGCGTGGCCTCGGGAGCTGGGCTTGGGTCCCGGCTCGGACACTTCCTAGCGGTGTGACCGTAAGCAAGCCACTTAGTCTTTCTGGGCTCCAGGGTCCTCATCTGTAAAAGGGGTACAGTGGTGCCTCCTTTGCTGAGTCATTTTAAGGACGGAAGGAGCGAACAGATGGAGTGCCTTGCCCGCAGGTACCACAGCTGTTAGTGTGTGTGTGGGGGGGGGGTGTTGGGGCAGGTGTAGGAGGGCTGTGGGATACTGAGGGCTGTGGGGCTGGGAGTGGGCTGCTTGAGGCCCGGCTGAGCAGACAGCCCCGATGCCATCCGCCCATCTCCCCCAGCACACGGGCGTCTACCCCATCCTGTCCCGGAGCTTGCGGCAGATGGCGGAGGGCAAGGACCCCACCGAGTGGCACGTGCACACGTGCGGGCTGGCCAACATGTTCGCCTACCACACGCTGGGCTACGAGGACCTGGACGAGCTGCAGAAGGAGCCGCAGCCTCTGCTCTTCGTGATCGAGCTGCTGCAGGTGGGGCTCTGCGGGGGTGGGAGGGTAGGGGGGTGGGGGGGGGGTGGAGGGCTGGCCCAGCATCAGAGAGCGAGGGGTCGTGGGCATCCTGGGAGCCTCACCCCATCGGTCACTGGCCCTCACCTGGAAAGGGCTCATAAACCGCAGGAGAATTTGAACACTCTCCCCCTCCCCCAAAAAGGGTATTTTGCCTTTCCCAGGGAAAAGCTCGTTTGGCACCAATTTTTTAAAATGTCATCTGTTTTCACGCGGAAACAGTTTTCTTCTATGGGGTCTCAACTTCCAGTTTTGTCTTCAAAAGTTTAGATTCTATCTTCATCCCAGTCCCTGCGGGTTGCGGGTTCAGACCGGACTCTCCCGAGTGACTGACAGCCCAGGTGATGGGGGTGGGAGCGGGCCAAGCCCGGCTTATGGTCACGGCCTAGGCTCAGCCCAGGGACACGCGTAAATACAAATGAGACCCGCGTCCCACGGGGCCGGTGTGAACAGTGGCGGGGCGTGCACACTGCCCCGGGCAGCGCTTCCGAGGTGCTCAGCACAGACGTGGCGCGGCTGTACCTTTATAACCACAGTTCCCAGCAGATGGCAATGCCGAGTCTTGTTCTAATGGCAGGAGTGTTATGGCAGCTTCTGGCTGTTGGAAGTAAAGTTGTTGACCAGCAGGTGCCTGTGCCTGATTGGCACGGAAGGGCCAGTGAGGGTGGGCCCCTGGGCCGTGACTTCCTTCCCGGGGCACCTCCCTGCGGGAAGTGCAGAGCTGACTTCAGCGGGTGCTGGGTCCCTACCTGCCCCCCCCCCCACTCCCCCGAGCCCCCCCTCCCCCGCGCCCCGGCTCACCTGCACCTCCCGGGCCAGGTGGAGGCCCCGAGCGAGTACCAGAGGGAGACCTGGAACCTGAGCAACGCGGAGAGGATGCAGGCGGTGCCCATCCTTCACGGGGAAGGAAACCGGCTCTTCAAGCTGGGCCGCTACGAGGAGGCCTCCGCCAAGTACCAGGAAGCCATCGTCTGCCTGAGGAACCTGCAGACCAAGGTGGGGGCTGCCCGCCCTGCCATCGGGGGTGGGGGTGGGGGCGGGGGGAGCAGCCCTGTCCCGGCCAGGGCCAGGGGGAGGGGATGTCACGCTGCAGCCTCCGCTCACGGCAGCCCCTTCCCCAAGGGCAGGAGAAGCCCTGGGAGGCGCAGTGGCTGAAGCTGGAGAAGATGATCAACACCCTCACCCTCAACTACTGCCAGTGCCTGCTGAAGAGGGCGGAGTACTACGAGGTGCTGGAGCACACCAGCGACATCCTGCGGCACCACCCAGGTGGGCGGGGCGGGGCCGGCTCGGGGCTGAGACCTCCGTGCCCTCTTCCGTCGCCATCCAGGCGCCTACACTTGCGGCCACCCGCCGTTCCGCCTGCACGCCTGTCGCGGGCATGGATGAGCAGAGCTCATTGCACAGGCGTCTCACTGGAATGTGCGCCAGGACAGACGCGCAAGCGGCTCCCAGGCCTGTGATGGTGTGGAGCGGAGACAGGCTTGTAAGGAAAGGGCCCTCGATGGAGAGCACACTGGGAGGTGAACACAGGGCTGGACGCACAGGCATGTCAGCGCCACAGTGCGCATGTGACGCTGGTGTCTGATCTCGTAGGAGCAGCGTCAGACACGTACTGCGCCCGGCACTCAGTCCTCGGCACTGGGCACGCCATTCACCGGTGTCACAGCCACCCGGGACAGGTGCAGGGGTCGGGCCGGAAGCCCGCACAATCTGGGGAGCCTCTATAACAGCGGTTCTCAACCTGTGGGTCGAGAACCCTTTGGGGGTTGAACGACCCTTTCACAGGGGTCGCCTAAGACCATCGGAAAACACATATATAATTACATATTGTTTTTGTGATGAATCACTATGCTTTCATTATGTTCCATTTGTAACAATGAAAATACACCCTGCATATCAGATACTTACATGACGATTCATAACAGCAGCAAAATTACAGTTATGAAGTAGCAACAAAAATAATTTTATGGTTGGGGGTCACCACAACATGAGGAACTGTATTAAAGGGTCGCGGCGTTAGGGAGGTTGAGAACCACTGCTCTATAAGAAAAATGATAGAAATTCATGAGTATAAAATTAGTTATGAGGCCTTGGGAGGGTCTGCACAAAGGTGGGGAGTCATCATCACCTCCATTTTACAGTCAAGGACATGGGCTCGGGTAGAGAGACATTAAGGATTCTGGTCAAGGTTAAGGGGTTTGTAAGCTGGTAAGGACCCATGGATGGGGCTGCCCCTGTCGTCCCTGCAGGCATTGTGAAGGCCTACTATGTGCGGGCCCGGGCTCACGCAGAGGTGTGGAATGAGGCAGAGGCCAAGGCAGACCTGGAGAAGGTGCTGGAGCTGGAGCCGGCCATGCGGAAGGCGGTGCACAGGGAGCTGAGGCTGCTGGAGAGCCGCCTGGAGGAGAAGCGGGAGGAGGAGCGGCTGCGCTGCCAGCACATGCTGGGCTAGGGCGGGGCGCCTGGGGGGGGGGGGGCGGGGGGCCTGGGGGGGGCGCCTCCTGGGGGGGGCTCCCATCCTGCCTCCCACCAGGGCACCCCCCACCGCGCTGACCCCCCTGTGCCCACCGGACAGCCCGGCAGTGGGCAGCCAGCAGATGGCCTGGCCATGTCTGGTTCATTTGGCCAGTGTTTTGGTGTCACATTTTACAGTTTACAATTAAATTTTAAAATCAATTTAATGCCTACCCCTGGCAAAAATAAAAGCCCAAAGCGTTTATGAGTAAGAGTGGGGTTCTTATTTCTAAGCCCAGAGCCAGCGCTGGGCCTGGACTTCACTCTTTTGCTCGTTTTCTCTATCTCCAAATAACGTGTACGTCACACTTCCTCCACGCCTGCTCCTTCCCCGGTCACCGGAAAATGGGAATTCAATGCTTGGACGCTTTCTCAGCCCTTCCTTCCGCTTCTCCCCGTTTTGGATAGTGATATTTTCGGCTCTTTGCTTGGTTACTTTTGTAATTTCATCCGCTCCCTCCAGAACTCTCTATGGAAGCCCATTGACTCTCTTCCGTGCCAGGGTGGGCAAAAGTGTGTTTACAGTCCTTCCTATGGCAACAATACAAACACATAATACAATAATCAATCAATAACAAGACAAGAACAAACTGTGCTTCTCGTACTCACAACTGTAAACCTACTTTTGCCCACCCTTGTACAGGTGGAGGGCGCAGCCCCTGGGACCCTTCTCCCACCTCCCACGTCCCCCACCGAGCAGTCGGATGGGCCTTTGCGTTTCCATCCTCCGGGCTGTCGGCACCTGTGCTCGGCCTGTGACCAGACCTCAACCTTCCATGCTGGGTCCAAAGGTTGACCCTCAGCTTTGAGAATCGATAAATGGCATCTCCATGGAACGGCCAGTGAGGCCATTTCCCGCAGGGCCTGCTGGCGCCGTGACTGCATTTGTTTTCCTATGGGTCCGAGTCCGTGACCCCTGGCACAGGTGGAAGGTATTCTGGCATCAGATGTAGCGGCAGATATTGGAACCGGGGAGTGTTTTGATTTTTCTCTTCTCCCGGCTTTTGCAGGACGAGGGCATTTGAGGTTAAGCCCTCCCACCAGGGCGGAGAGAGGGTTCATCTTGGGTTGATTCAGGCTCAGTATCTAATGGGGTGTCCTGTCTAATGGGGTGCCCAGGTGTACTGAGAGAGAACCCTGGGTGGCTCTAGAGGCGGTCGCGGGAAGGGGACAGAAGCAGGAAGAGGAGTGTCCTGGGGCCTTTGCTTGGAGTGGCCAGCAGGGAGCGGCAGAGGACTGTCCCCTGCTCCTAACTGCCCTGGGAGAGAGGCCTCAGTGGTATCTGAGCCACCAGAGGCTCCACCAGGGCTGGGAAGGAGATAAAGAGGCTGGCAAGGGGCATCATCTGAGCACCAGGAGCTATGGCCTGCAGACTTCCCGGCCCTCCATTGTCCTGCCCATTTTCTACATGTAGTAGTCCTGCTGGCCACCTCTTTTCTGGGGACAGCAGGGATCTCATGTCATCTGTGGTCCCCCAGCAGGCCTGATGCCCGGGCCCTGCTTGGTCCTGCCCAACGCACCCTGTGGGCAAGCCTCGGCTCCCGATGCCCCGGGGCATTTGTGAGCCCAGGTGAACGAGGGGCATGTTTCAAAGCCTCCTCAGGTGTCACCTGTGCGGTCGTCAGGGACATTTCTGTGGGAAAAGCCCTAGGAATTCCTTCTTTCACTCCACCCAGTGGGTTGACATCAGGCCACATTTTGGTTCATGACTTTCCTGGTAGCTTCCCCCAGCCTCACCCGACCCAGCATTTCTATCGCCCGGCCCAGCATTTCTGTATGGTGGACATGGAGAAACCCAGCCTCTGACACGCCTCCGGTGTACGCAGCCTCTAACCACAGTGGCTCTGTGCTTCCCCGGGGCAGCCCTCACGCAGCCTGGTCAGCAGACTTCTCGCTGGTCATTTCTGCCTTGTTCAGCACGCTTCTTACTTATTAGTGAGCTTCTCTTGTGTAAATTCGTGCATGTGTGTGTCAGAGAGAGAGAGAAAGAGAGTGAGAGAGAGAGAGAGAGAGGGAACACGGACACCTCATATTGCTACCATTACCCAAAGGCAGAGAACAGGACAAGAGCACCACTTTTCAGAAGCCATGACATTTTGCTGGAGGCTAAGTCCAGCGGGTCATAATAAATGCGAGAAGTCCTCAAAAGGTTGGATGGATTCTTTCAGCAGAGCTGAAAATCTGCATATTATTGCCTGCTGCTGGCTAAACAGCTGAATGGCTGAGAGCAATTCCCCCAACCAGATAATCCTTTACTGTTTACCAAACCTTACCTTTGATATGTAGATCTGCTTTGTTAGAGGGCAAAATGTGTGAATAAAAAGCCCTGGGTCCAGATCCAGGATTCAGGGAGCTTAGTCACTAGAACTAAGTTTCTGGCTGGCTTTCTCCAAAATGCCTTCCAAATTCATATTTCTTCTCTAGTTTCTTCATTCATTTATGCACAGCCCCTTTTCCATTTACCCTAGTACAGTGGTTGGCAAACTGCGGCTCGCGAGGCACCTGTGGCTCTTTGGCCGCTTGAGTGTGGTTCTTCCACAAAATACCGACTTCTGCGCATGGGCCACGAAGTTTCAATCGCACTGTACGTGCGCATCTGCACGTGGTATTTTGTGGAAGAGCCACACTCAAGGGGCCAAAGAGCCGCATGTGGCTCGCGAGCCACAGTTTGCCGACCACGGCCCTAGTAGATGCGGGAAGACCCCAGCAACATTTCACTCCCCACTTCTCCCCACTTCACCCCATTCTCCTAGCGCAGGGAGGCGGATGCAGGCGTCGGGGGAGCTGACCAGGGCCCACGGCAGGCAGCCTCCCACCAGGCCGCTGCACTGGCTTCCCGTGGGCTCCGGCAGCAGCCTCCAGGAGGGCCTGGCTGGCCAGGTCTGGGCAGGTGGCTGCAAGAGGTTGCAGGGGCATCCCCTGAGGTCCCTTTCAACCACTTCCAAGGGATCTGGCTGGGAGCCTTTGTTTCTTGAGGGCCCAGCAGGGGGCAGCAGAGACTAGGTAGGTTGTGGTTCCTGGGCCTGAAGCTGGGGGTCCGTGGGACTTTCCAGAAAGGGCTTTGGGCTCTGGACTGTGGTGACTTTCCATGAGCTCTGATCACCCTCACTCCCACAGGGTCAGCCTGGCTGGGGACAGGAGAGGAGGCGGTTAGAACCATGGAATCAGAACACCAGTAGACTAGGGCCTGTGTCCCACCCCTCATACAGGTGGGAGAACTGAGGCTCAGAGAAAGTTAGTAACTCCCTAGATCCTACCTGAAAGCTGGGGTAGACCCAGGATGAGCATCCAGGTTTCCAGGCTTCTGGGCTGGGCACTCCATCCTATACTGTGCTGCCTCCCTTCCCAGACAGTCCGTACATGGGCATACATATCACACACACACACACACACACACACACACACACACACACACAGGAGAAAAATATTAGGGAGCAACTCAGAGCATGTCCATAGCCTTTGTTTGAGTATTGTCACCAGTTAACGAAGGCATTGCTCCCAGGCATGAGCCATCCTGGCCTCTGTCTGGCTGGGGCTTACACGGACCTCCAGATCAGAGGTGGATCTGGGTGGCCAGAGGGATCCCCTTGGGAACTGTGCAGGTCTTAGTAAATCACCACAAGCTTAACGGCTTAACACAGCGCAGACTCATCCTCTTACAGCTCACTGGGGTCAGCAGGGCTGTGTCCTTCCTGGAGGCTCCCGGGACAACCAGCTTCTTTACCTTTTCCAGTCGCGAGGCCACCAGCATGCCTCGGCTGGTGGCCCCTTCTCCACCTTCAAAGCCAGCAGCACCGCATCTTCCAGAGTCTCCCATCTTCACATCCCCTCTGAGAGTCTGCGACGCCCCTCCTCCCTGTCGTAAACAGCCTGACACGGGCCCCTGGCTAATCCGGATCACACCCCATCTCAGACCCTTCAAGTAATCACATGTGCAAAGTCTCTGTTGCCATGAAGTAACCTATTCCCAGGCTCCGGAGATCAGGATGGGACACCTGGGGGCCATTACAGAGCCTAAACAGCCAGATAGTCTCCCTTTGTCCCCAGGTCTGTCTGAACGGCTCTGTCCTGAGAGGTGCCACATGTGATGCCCAGGCTCCCTGGCCCTCAGGCTCCAGTTGGGTTTGACACCGGGAGGCACAGGAGGAGGTCTTTGTGGGGAAGAGGAGGCTGGGCTGAGGTTCTGCAGCGGCTGTGCTGTGTGACCTGTGTCACGCTGGTGTTGGGCAGCTTCACATCCCTCACTGTCCCCGGAGCAGCAGTGCCTCCTCGGGGCCCCTCAGTCTCCACCCAGCGAGTCCCCGAGTGCCCCCTATTCCTTGCTGGACCCCAGTCACACCTGCACCTCGATCAGCTCTCCACGGCCACCCCTCTGAGTGGGTATCAGCTCTTCTCCAGGCTGGAGGGAGGGAAGGAAAGCAGAGAGAGGCTGATGGACATGGGCACGGGCAGGGTGTGAATTCGGGCCCAGATGCCGCAAACAGGGACTGGAACCAGCACTTTCCTGCCCTCTGGGACGTGGTCTCAGTTCCAGGCTGTGGGAGGGGCTCACCCCGAGTGACAGCTAAGGGTTTGGTGTGCATCCGGAGGTTGCGGCCATGGCAAACACCTGCTCCTCCACGAGAAATGGCCAGGCAGCCTCAGTCAGGCGCACATAGCCAACCTTCCACAGTGCGGGCTCTGCAGGAGGCACCCCCTTTTCAGTGCTTCCCAGCCACTTCATGATGGGCCGTGTGAGTGCCACCTGGCAGAGGGCCAGCTGGGGGTGGGGTGGGGAGGTGGAAAGGCCTGGGTTGCGCCGCTCTGAGTGGCCGAGCCCAGGACTGACACACATGGCTTGGATCCAAAGCTCAGGATCTGTTCACCGGGGCGTCTTCTGCTCAGTAAGCGGCAGCTGTGGGGATGAGCCAAACGATAGAGGGCATCGCTGGCTCACTTCCCG